GGAAAATATAATATAATATAATATAATATAATATAATATAAATATGAGAAATATCCAAAAGAATCATCTAACTTTAGGTTTTCGAACGAATTTTCGGCCAACTATTTGTTCTTGTGTAATTAAACGACTATGTCGACTTTTCTTGTCCATAACATTAGTTCCACCTTTATCAGAAAGTACTGAACATTTCATTCGCCCATGTGGCATTAAACGTCGCTTTAAAAAAAAGAGCAAAATTAATTTCAAAAAGAAACAGAATGGAGGAAATATTTGTCACATAGGTTGGTTGGTAAAAGTTAGATAACGAATAGTTTACAAAAATAATTTTAAAGTTAATGATCTAGCAATAAAACATAATGATATAAGATTCTTCATTTTCTTTTCACTATATTGGTTCATTTCAGGTGTTAATATTGTTGCATAAATCGACGAAATGATTTATTATATCTTTGAGGTAAAAAAATATCAATGAAAATTTTGCATTTCAACAAGTTATCAATTTTAATAATTCCAAAATTGAAGTCAAATGAATTTCAATTATTGTAATAGCAAACTTTCTTATAAATTATATTATAATTATGACATTTTATTCAATGGTTTTCCACTGTTTAAAAAAGATCAAAAGGTCAACAAAAAAAAGTCAAAAAAGGTCATTGTAAGCTTGCTCATGACAGGTTAACAAATAAATATCAGTTAGCTGCATTTCGAATTCTTTTAGTGGCAAAATTCAAAATAGAATGAAAATTTTTTTGATATGAACTGATTTCCTTGATCTGTTGATCACCTTATCTCCTCGCTTCATTGTGCCTTCAAAATCAGGCTTTAAGTATGTGTTGCAAGTACAGTTGCCTTATAAGCTTACAAAAGTAAGAAATGAAACTTTTCCATGCTACAGGTCTCTTTTGATCGTTTTTTCAGCGTTGTAAATTTTGCATAATTTTTTATTAATTATGATGACATTTTATTGAATAGTTTTCCATGTTAGAAAAAAATCAAAAGGAAGCCGCCTTCAGATCAGATTATCAGTAAGCTTATCAGTTGAATATATTCCTCATGATTCGTGCAATAATTACTACTTCTGAATTCTGTTTGTATACAGTTATAATCAAAAGAACTGATTTTAAAATTACTTAATATTGAAGGTATTTGCTGATAATTCTTTTTTATTATGTAGCATTTCCATACAATAATGCTTTCGGCCACAAAAATTTTATTATGAAGTAAATGATTCAAATTTAAACGACTGTAAAAGCAAGAAGCAAACTTAATTCAGCTCATTAACCTGCATTTTATATGGACATGCAATATCTGTGAAGAGATAAATAACTGCAATCAACCACTGAATTATGAATTTACAAGAACTAGAACAAAAAAAATCAACAGCAATTTACGAATATCCTACAATGACGAAATCCAATAAACGCCTTTCAATAATTACCTGTTGCTGATTTCTAATGTGAATGAAAAAGAAGGAATACAGGTAGCGGTAGTGAGAAAAGGTTAGGAATTTCTAATCCATATATTTCTAAACATTTCCAGGAAAATTGTGGCACGAGTTATCAGCAGCAAAAAGTAATATTACGATGAAGCAGCTTTTCCCGTTATTTATGGAGATGTTTATGATTTGCAAACCTATGATTATGATGTAAAACTATATTATCACATTTCAGTGAGAAGATTAATATTTTCTGAAATTATTTGATTATCTATCTTCAAAATATTGTTAAAATTATTAAAATGATGAAAGCTTCATAATGAATTGTTCTTGTCCGGAAACAAAAACAAAATTTTGATTTTCGAATGGATAAATCGAAAAGAAAATTAACTAAAATAGTGGAAAAAACAAATTCACTTCAATAAGTTACTTTCAATTCAGGAAATGTCTCAGACTGAAATGCAAATTTTATGAAATATAGCTCGCGTAAAATAACAAATAATTTGCAATGAGAAAGCTATAGAGATAATCCGTAAGAATTATTAGCTTTGGCAATACATTTGTTGATGTGGAATTGTTACTCTGAACTTCCACCCGATATGGAATTTATTTTTGGTTTTTACAAAGCATCGATAAAAAAATATTCAAACAAACTTCACAAACGTTGTATTTACAGACAATTTATATACATTGATGAAGCAGATTTCTCTATTATTTTTGGGCTTTTTTGACTAAGTAACCAGCGGAGAAAATAAATCAATCAAAGTAATTAATGGAAAAATATTTAGTCACTTTTCATTAGTCTTATAGTTGTATACAATAGAAAAGAAGAAAGATAAATTTCTTGCTCGTAATTATCTCTTTCAATTTAAAATGAATTGCTCAAAAATTTTGGCTTTTTTTCTATATTTTATCTAGTTTCCGGGATTTATTGATTAACTTATAAGGTATTTGTGATAGAAAACAAAGAAATGTCATATTTTTCCTGATGAAAAATATGCAGAGAGAATACTCCTCGAGTTATGCATAGAGTTGTGAATTGACAAACTCCATTGAAGTTGTAGAAAAACAAAAAGAAACATAACCAAGATTCAAGAAAGCATCGATCAGAAGTGAATCACCGGCAACTGTTGTCATTGCATTTGTACCCAGTAAGTTCGTTTCTATGGAATAAATGTTTCGGGGTGATGTCTTCACTGATGTCAAATGTTGACCCGAGTAATCAAACTGCAAAAAAGTTCACTAAACAAATATGTTCAATTTCATATCGTTATAATTAACTGCAACAGAAACACCTTTAGAGAAGTAAAAAAAATTTAACTAGAAAGTTTTATCATGCGGTGGATAAAAAAAAAGTTTATACAATAAGAAAATCAGAAGACATAGGAAAATGGAACATCTAGAAAATTCAGCAGGAATTTCAATTAGTTAAATTCACTATATACTTTGTTCCAATTTTCTTTTTCTAAATTTACAAAATATCATTTCTTCATCATTTAATTCAATATTACTGACTTGCATTAGATCCGAACAACTTCCTCCTACTAAAATCCGATCGCCGTTCATTTTTGCTACTGTATATCGCATTAGAGAAGGACGCTCACAAATTAAAGCTGAAGCTAACGATCTTGAACCAATATGCCATATAGCAGGTTCAACGTCGCCGCCACAAACCTAAAGACATACTTCTATTTCTAATTTAGAAGTGTTGGAAGAAATTTATACAATTTAAATAACTTTTTATATCCAACTAAGAATTCAAGAAATGATTTTTGCGAAATGATTTTTTTGAAATAGTGTAGTTACACTTATACTTGCTAAATTAGTGTTGAGAGAATACTTTCCAGTCCTTTTCTGAACAATTCCATCGGACCTGGCAAAGCGACTATTTGTATTAACTGTGGAAGGTCGCTGGCTACCATTTATTTCTACAAACTTTTTATATGACTAAATATAAAATTATATCAAAGATGAATTACGACCGGATAAACAATACGAAGCACGATCCTGCTGTTAACCTGTTTTCCCAGGCATTTATAACAAAATCTATTTGAGAAAGACTATATTGGCTATATATGGATTGTCCAATATTTTTCTTATCATTCTTAGAAAAACAATCATTTGCATCATTTTCAACTATAACCCACAGAAAAAATAATATGCACTAAATTACAAATAATCTTTACAAATGTACCATGAAATCTTCTTCGACATCCAACGCGCAAATTCCTCGACCACAATTACTTCGACTAAGCTTTTCTTCCATAGCTACATTGAAAACGTGGATATTCTTAGAACGAACATCCCAAAGGCGAACAGTACCATCTTCAGATGAACTCAAAAACACATGTTCTGATTGCACTGCCAGTTCATTTACATATTCACCATGTCCGACGAACGTCGAAATGACCTGAAATTGAAAATTTTGAAAGAAGTTGCAAAAAATACTAATTGTCTAAAGCTTATTGCTGCCATCTAATTACCGGGTGAAAGTGCTTGCCAATTTATATAACGAACACATAAGTGATTGCACTTATTAACAGTTGCGTTGACATAATTAGTTGTTAAAAGGTTGTTTCGTACATCAGTTCACTATGAGCCACACAACAATTCCATTGAGACAAGTCAAATATATATTCTTTGAAGTATATACATCTAAAAAGAGCGAAACAAACCTTATCCGGACGATTAAGTTCTATCAAACGAATTGCATTGTCTCCAGCTCCAGCATACAGCACATAACTATTATCGATGCAAGCTACAGAATTTATTTCACATGGTGGAGTAACTGATAAATTTGCAGGAAAACCACTAAATTTGCATAAAGGGCCACATCGGTCGGAAGTATGAGAGTGGGTAATATCATCCCAATTATAAATAGCTAAATGACCGACTGAATTGCCACAAACTAATCTTGAATGAACTGTAGCCAAAGCATAAATTGGTTCATCCAAATTTAACCAATATTTGAATTGTCGATCATTACTCGAGGCATTCAATTCGAGAGCCTGACGAAGTTCGAAAACATATAAATGAGCGCGTGAATCCGTCACCACTAACCAATTGCCTAAAACAAACTTTGCTTAGCAGAGCATCCATTACTGGACATTTCATTCACTCGTCAACGATGTCTACTTGTTGAATGATAACGTTTAAAATGATAACATTTACTTGACATTCCGTAGTTCTCACTATGAGTTACTTGCATCTGCGAATGGGACATTCAAGAATAAATTAGCACAAAAAGTCGAGAATTGCAACTTATTTAAGTGTTTCTACAACTAACATAAAAAAGACTAGCTTTTAATTGAGGAAATGTTTGCTGACATAAAGTAACACCCTTACTATTGTCCTTCTATTTCGTTCAAAAATTGTCAAATCGTTTAATAAAAGTTGTCAGGAATTCCACGTTACATTATGATCAAAACAATCAAAGTAAACCATCATGAATCTTACCATCTGGAGAAAAGCGCTGACGATAAATTCTGTTGTAGAATGCCTGTCGAAAAAATGTCGCATCTGATTCTTCCACAACCATCCTAGAACTTAATCCAAATCCATAAAAGCGGCAATGATAACGCGTCGAAATGCCGATGAAGTGATGTATATTGATATTTAACGACCGGTAAAATATGTTGCACACGACAGAACACTCCTCATATATATTTTGCACATGATTGAATTTAACTCCTTACTGGTCCAAACACACTTTTTAAACAACATCTCTCTTAGCAATTTAGAGAGGGAATTGTCACTTACATGAAACCATGATAAAACCCTATTCCAAACTTAACTACGCCTTCTCATTAACTTCATGATTCCTGACATTATATTTACATCAAAGTCACATACCAGTTCAATTCAAATGGTTGCAAATTTTGAAACTTTTAATTAAAATTCATAACAGTTAAGAAAGTATAGGAATTTAAGATCCATTAGCAACACTGACTGCCACGTAACATTAAAAAAAAGACTAAGTAATGAATATTTGATGAAATATCAAAGTGAAGTATATCAACTTTACAAAAGCAAAAGGCTTAAAACATTTATCAAACATAATAAAACATAATTAAAAGAATGATTGCGAAAACAAATGAAAGACAACGAGAAAATGGGAAAAAACAACTCTAGAAATAATGACTATTCCTGCCAACTAATCTTAAAAGTCGATGTCCTGACACTCCCTAAGTGTGTTCAAACAATTCAAGCTGCGACAGATTCTATATAGAAGTATTTAAAAATTGAACTACATGTAATCCTGCACTAACAATTGGACATTTCTGTTCCTTTTCGAATTTAAAAGTACTGTTACATATATAACGGATAACTTATCCATGAACATATTGGCGTACATTATCTGGCCTTTATTATCTGAAACTGGAAACGCCCCAAGGAAATCTTTGTGTGTGGACTTTCCACTTACATAAGACATGAGTTCCGACACCGTAAGCTAATATACCATCTGCGAGACTATAAATTTTAATTTCTTCACACTCCCAATTTCTTCATACTTTAATCACTTCCGCCCGTGATTTGGCAGGTAACGAAGAAGATGAAATAAACTAAGTGAAATAGAAAGAACAGTAGGCTCTATCGAACCTGACTTTTTTAATAATACTGCACATGGAACAGTCATTCCGAATGAAAAATATTAGTGATCAGAAAGCACATCTCTAACAACATTTGGAAAAAATTCATATTTTAACGAGTTTATTGAAGGCTGATTTTTTAATAAGTGCAAGCTGTTTCTCTTCCGAGCTTCAGTTCTGAACCAGTCCTTGAAACCCGTACTCAATAGAGCTTCCAGTAATATGACCAAACGAAATACAAAAAAAAGCTGTTTGAATCGACGATAAGAACAAAGAAAACAAAAAGAAACAAAAAAGCGTCGATATTCAGACATAAAAACGATACTATAGAACTCAAACAATGATGGATAAACGAGGCTCATAGGAACTAATACACGTAATTTAGGTAGAAAAACATTGAAGGACAAACAAAAACAAGGAATAAAAGACGATAGCATGCACAAAACACCTGGATCCGAACAAATAAAATTTCAAAACTTAGAAACCGGCACATACTTTCCTGTATAGGCTCTTTTGTACTGATAGTTTTCATTACTCGCTCAAATTAAGGGCTTACTTGTTTTGCATAATCTCTAAAAATGTATTCGAAGTTCGTTATTACTCAAAAATTTTGATTAATTCACTGATCATATCAGTATATATTTGTGATAACTTATGCCTAAAATATCATAAAATTATGGTTCACTGCAAGAATATATATTCAAATATAATACAACCATACATAATAAATCACGTAATAATTACCATATATAAATTATGCAGAAAAATATGAAGCAATTAACCCATGTTCATGCAAATAGAATCCTCCCAAACAATTTACCAGCAAAAATTTATGTAAGAAAAGCATTACTGGGCCCCAACAATTTATGCATGTTATATTATCAATTTAATTAATAATGTAAATAAAAGTGCAATTGAACAGAGATAAATTCGGTGTTATCTCTACCCGGAGAAAATATACGTTATGAAAATATACGAACATTCTGCTATGTTTGACTTTAGCATTCCCTTATTACCACGAAAGGATATTATTGAGAAGAAAAAAATAAACATTCAATGTTTTTGGGAATTTTTATTTTCTTAATAACTTGAAAATCTTCTCATTGTTTCAAAACCATACAGAAGAGCACCAAACAGGAAGTATGTGTTCGTAGACAAAATGAAAATATCGAAAGATAAAACGAAACAATAAAAGCGTCTGCAAAAAAGAAAGTACGAACTGAAATAACTTATAACAGGAAACAAAACAAAAAGAATGAAAAGAAAATAACCCATCGAAGCAAACCAAAAAAATAATGAAAATAAAAAGAACACAGAGCGAATTAAAAACAAAGACAACTTACACAATCGTGAGAAAGTTCCAGAGGGAGATACAGCTGTTGCGAAGAAAATATCGCCGGTAGACTGAACTTACAAGAATATGGAATCTCCAAAAAAGTGTGCAATTATCGGTCTATTCCGCGACATCATGTACTGTTGTCATCTGATTCATGGATTTAAGTCACGATAAGAAAGGAAATATTCAAATGTAAGTAAATTTTCTTTCGAATACTATAATTTTGGAATGTGAAAAGAATCAGCTAATTACTGAATTATCAGCAAGTGGCGGAACCGACCAAAAGCCATAATAAAACAGATTGGATGATTGGTGTGGATTATCATATGAATACCACAAATCATCAATCGAACTGACATTTACTATAATTTTACTAAACGTCATATTGATTTGCTAATCTCTGCTTTAGCGGAGCAGGGAATTGTGATGTGAATGCCGTCCAGTTTAAATCACCAACTTGTTGTCGAAATCCGTGTAAAATCTGAAAGACCATTATCAAAGTTAATAAATTGTTATGGTAGTGAGGATGTAGAAAATTTTCACTGTATTGTAATTTATGTATAGCATAAAAAACGAAAGAGTCGTTGTCCGGAAATTGAACTCGTCATGCAAAAATATATTTTAAATACTGATAAGTTTTTTGGGAAAATAGCAGCTATAGTTCCATCGAGAAGAAGATTGCAAAATGACTTTTTTCAGGAAAACACATTTGAGAATATTAACAGTCCTTACCCTTGAAAACATCATTTTCAATTCAGGTTGCGGATTATTCCAAGACGCAATAGCATCACATAAAAATATGAACTCCTAAAATAAGTCGTGAATATGATGATTAAGAAGGCAAAGTTTGAGCGTCTATTAACGAAATTTATGTTTTTGCATAATCATATTTTGACATGTACGGCTAAGTAATTTATGCTAACGAACAAATATGCCGAACAAATAATTACAAACAGTAATAAAACAACTTTGATTTAGATATTACCAAAAGAACAGTTCTTGTCATATGTTGGTCATATTGTCAGAGATTAAGCAAAATATATAGTAACAAATGAAAAGAATACCGCAAGTACTCCAGCAGGATTCAGATTAATCATATTACAAAGACCCCTAAAAGCGCTCTCTTTTTCGTCATTATCGCGTATATTCCGCAATGCCAAACACCACGGACGAATAAATTGTGGTAAGAACGGTGCCACCTCACCAGCACAACTAATGCCCAAACGACCAAGAGTTATTGCTGAAAGAATATAAACAAAAATGTTTTTGTATTGTTTTTCCTGAAACTTGTAAAGGAAATTTTAGACAGAAGAAATGTAAAAAATAGGGAACAAAAGGAAAAATTTCTAATACGAAATTCAAAACATAATTAAATGATCTCCCGATTTAAATGAAAAATCATTTACCAGTATTTTCCAGCAGTGTTTTTGGCCCTTTCTCTCTATTCATTACGATTATCAGAGCCGGTAACAATCCAAGCACATGTGGACGCATACTCTCACCCATCTTCATAGCTATTTCACCAATTGCCCATATTGAATTATTACACACGGATATCGCATCAGGATCCAAATTCTGCGCCAAAATAGGAAGAAAGATATCTAGAAAGTTACAGTATTTTAAATAGCTGTGATGAAAGTAACGGCTGAAATATTATTATTTATATGTAATATTTATATTTAAGTATTTTAATGTAATATTTAAGCGAAATTTCAAACATAGCTTTCAAATTTCCATACCATATAGTTTATCTCACATATTAAACGCATTTCTCTCAAACAATTAACAGTGTAATAAAAATACTTCATATGAAAAACAGCTCACTTATATGAGGCTGCAGATAATGATAGCACGCTTTGGATAAATCACCAAGCAATGCGAATGAACTCTGCCGCACTTCAGCACTTGAATCCTGAAATAATTAATAAAGTTCTGCAAAAATCAGAAAGATGAGTCTGGGAATTTTCAGAATTAAAAATTTCAGCAGGAATGAAAAATTTTTCAATATGACGGTGCATATGGGGTACCATAGAGCACTGGTAAACGAGGCCAATAATTTGACTCGGCCCAACAAGAGAATCAATATGTTCTGCAAGTCCTTCTGCAAGTCCCGAGAGAAGATCTAATGCAACAATAAGAAAATCTTTGTCTGGCATGTCATATTCTGACGGTCGCTCCATGGCAAGCTGTGACTGTTGCAAGCAGCGTCCAATTAGTGCTGTGCATCTTAAACAAAATGATTATTAAGTTGAGTAAATGTGCAATAACATAAGAACTAATCAGAGAAGTTGAGTATTCAAATAATTGGGTTCATCGCGAAAATCATAACAAATCCTGTCAAAATTTGAATTGCTTTATCTGCAAATGCACGACATAAAACCAAGAGATGAAAAAACCTTTGAAAAACAGGTTCGCAGTATGGGAGGAAAGCTTCATGAAGAGCAGTAGCGACAGAAGATAAACATTCTAACAATGGAAATAGTTCTTTGTCATCGTCGCCAAGAGCAGCCCATTTTACCATCAACGGCCTCATAATAGTCTGAACAAAAATAATCAGTTATGTCGAGAGATGTTTACAATAAATTTCGACTTTGAACGACAAATGCTAAAATTGACAGTTCATAAAACCAACCTCAACGTACTGCGGTTCATTCAAATTCGGACCAACACTATCTGCCAATGTACCTACTGCGTCATACAGAATGAGCAAGTTTTTAGCCTGAAATTACAATTCAAAATTACATTATATTTACAAATTAGGGAACAATATATTGCAAACAATATAGAAATAATAGATAATATAAACTTGGTATTAAAGATCAGGAACAAGACATTATCAAAGAAACATTCACAGATTGCAAATACTAGTATCATGCGACCGAGCATAAAGAAAAATGTGTACCTGATATCTGTTGAATGCTTCCACTAAAGTAGCAAGAATCTCGGGAAGATATGGAACCAATTCCAAATTTGCTTCTTCCTCGAGGGTAGCAAATGCAGAGCATGCAGCTTCTTGCACTCGTTTATTACCGTCTAGGATACGAGCCAGTAACTAAAAAATAATTTTAATGAAGTCTCATCCGAAAAATGGAGAATCCGTCTTTATCTGTACTGGAACACTTCAACATTCCTCATTTCAGAAATACAAATCATTCGCCGTACTCTTATATATCATATTACATAGAGAAACACAAAATACCCAATATAAAATATACGAAAAATATTTTCAAGTAGATATTTTTACGAGGTAGATCCAGTTCATTATTCCTATTACTGCTACTAATGCTAATAAGCTTTTTTTTCCTCAAATACTACAGCTTATGAATTATTTTTCATTTCCCTTTCATTCCCTTTCACTCATCAGCAAATGACTCGATGATAAATTGTACTAATAGTGTCCATTAAGTTGGACCCGTAGTGTAAAAATACATGCTCATATAATCATCTTACCGATTTTGATCCTTTTTCTGAGTCAATATGATGAAAGATTTTTTATTAAAATTTTTAAGTTCTTGCCCGCTGACAGCTCTTAGATATTTATACACTTTATTCATCAACAATGAGCCTACCTCCTTTAACAACTGCTTGAAATACATATTATGATCTTGCTGAACAACATAGTGACAATATCGAGATAAAGTCCAACAAGTGATTGACCTCACAAGAGCCTGAAGTGAACAACATCCTCAATTGTCAAAAAATCGTCCCATTACTGCATAAAGATGTTTAAGTCGAATTATATAGCAGGAGATCACATACCTTTCGGTCCTGCAAAGATGTGATTAAGAATGGTACGAGTTCAGGTAAATGTGGAGTAATTCCGGACATACAGCCTTCCGCAACAGCACCCAAAGCTAATATTCCACTTTCTTTTATCTGAAATTACATTACTATTTTTTCATATTCTATAGTTGCAAACAAACACACTAGAAATATTTTTTGAGAAAAAATCATCCCATTTAAATTTCTGAATGGAAAGTTGAAATACAATTTCAGGAATATACTTAAATAAAATATGACTTACTAGCCAATCGTTATGGAAGAGAGTTTCCTTCAGGATAGGCAATAGAGTTGGCAAAAAGTCATCATTAAATATGCTAGAAAGTACATCCAGGGAAGCAGCACTACATTTTCCTGCAAATTTTAAATCCTTGATCATTATTTGGAAAAATTATTTTGTGCATAAAAAATGAGAGATATACATATGCCCATAATAAGTACTAATAAAAAATGTATCAAAAAGCATACGCAAATTCCATTCAGTTGAACTGTCATCATCTCCATCATCATCATCATCCATGGATTCCTGAAATTTCAAAAAACTTATATCCATCTACAGCAATCTCAAAATTCATCTTTTTCATTACTACTTCCAAGTAGTAACATGGGAATAACTCACCACCTGGATGTAAAAGTCTCGTCAAATGGTGTTTATAAAAGAATTAAAGATTGTTCGAAGAACAAAGAATCTCAATTATTTATTTGAAACAACGCTAGTACCCCCTCAGCAGTAGAATCGGACTTCCTCTGTGTCTGTGTTTGCGTTTTGGCACGATGAAAACGTGGTTTTATGTCTTGCTGACGATCGGGTATCGAACCATCCTCTTCATCATTATCACCCTGGAAAACGTGTGTAAATAATCTGGCAAAGTAAAAGAATCTTGTAATAGAAATAAATAATAACTGGAAAAAATTATGACTGAAAACATTCGAAGACATGCAAGAAATAACTTACTTTCAAAACAGCAACATCCATATCGGAATACCTCATACACCTAACCAGAACTGGTATTAACTTAGGAAGGTGAGGCAATAGAGCTTCTTTGCACACTTGCGGATTTTCTGCTAATGCTAACCAAAATTCACAAGCTTCCAACGCTGTTGCTTCATTCGGATCCTGAAAATCAGCAAAATTTTAAATCCCATAAAAAGACATGAATAAACAGGCACTGATCAATAAACAGCAAATCTACCTGTGTTCTCAGAAGCATGAACTCCACAATGTTTCCTAACTGAGATGCTAGTTTATCGAGATGAGAATCAAGTAACAGTGTTAACGATCGACAAAGCTGCTTTTGTACTTCCTGAAACAAATCAATGCAATATAATTAAAAAAAGAATATAGACTATATGACAGGATGAAAAAAAATTTGTTAGAATGTCAACTATGTAACTTCTTGTTTCGCAAGAATGAATTTAACTATTTAATGCTCATGCGTTGCTTGCAACAACTGTGAAAAATCAAGTAAAATAAGACAAGCAATGCAATAAAAAACGAAATGAGGCATTTCACACTACATCATTTCTATGTGATCATATAGCGCTCACATAAAACAGATACCAAGCTTCAGTAAGCAACCAGTTTAAAAAAGTAAAGCAGGAATACCGTGTCTACATCATTTGCCAAGGCAAATAAATGTTGCAAAAATACATCCATAATGTTGTTTAACGGCTCCGTTTGAACTAGTAAAATGCAGTTCACCGAATTCAGCGCCAACGCCCTGGAATTTAGTATTTTGCAAATCAAAAATCAATAAATAAACAGGAAAAAAAGCAGCACTTGCTTTTTCATAAATTGAATCAAACGAAAACCACCAACCTCAACTTTGGTGATGGGGAATTGAAGAAACACAAAAGTTTCGGAATAAGTGTACTCAAGTGTTCCTGAGGTGTCAACATATCTGCAGAATCTTCGCAAATTTTCTGTATTGCACCCATAGCACCCTGCAAATTTGTAGAACGATTAAGGTTTCATGTATTCTGTTAAACATACAACAGTTCTGTTAATGCAAATGTAAGAAAACTGTCAAATGCATATTGAGAAAAAAACCTCTTGTAAGTTCTCATCGGACCCGTCTAGCATGTTGCACAACGTAGGGAGTAAGGCCGGCCACTGAGCGATACCCTCATGAACAACAATTGTCGTTATAATAATGCCTACAGTTGCGCGTATTAACGGATGGTAATCCGAAATTGCTAAAAGTGTTTTGTTCTTAACATACTGTCGTATGGGTTCCGTTAGACGACCCCATAGCATTCTTATTGAATTTTTTAGTATTAAACCAGCCAGTGAACGATTCGCCACCTGCAAGCATATTTATTTGTCACTGCAATTCATAGTATCCTATTCACCTCTCACTTAAAAAATCATTGGTTGCTAACGGTGATTTAATAAATTATGATATGAAAGGTAGATGATATTGGTGATATTGCAATCCCACAAAAATTAACCATGATGCTTAAACTGTAACAAATATGACCAGTCAACGTTGAGATTCAAAATCTCCACGTGTGCGATAAAGTATGGTGTGAACTCGTTTTTTATAGAAACTAACAAATGAATAATAATAATACCTGCTCATCTTTCAGTTCACTGAGAATAAAAACAAGGTAACAGCAAAATTCGGGATGCAGATTGAGCTGATCAAGACGCTGAAACAAATTATGAATGATCACGGTGAAATTTAAAATTAAACTACAAAAAAAATAATAAAAATTATGAAAAAAAACATACTTCTTGAACATTTCGTTGTGTCTGTGTATCCGGTGACTGCGAATGTTGGAGGAGTTGCACGACCTGTTGTAACTCTTCAGGAATAGGTCTCCAATTTTCTGCTTCTCCAGTCATTTCAAAAGATCATACTATGTAGTATATATCTAATCTGCAAGAAAAATAGTGAACAAATCTTTAATTATCAGAATTTAATGCAAGTGTCTTGTTAGTAACTGTTTTGCATCTGAGAGTGGCACATTGCAGAATATTCGGATTGCATCACTCCTTAAGAAAAACTACGACTTGTACCCATAACAATGACTTCACCCCTACTATTAAGAGTGTCGCTATTCACCCGACATACTTTGTCATACCATCCAGTCCCATTAGTTGAGACAATGTGCAAATAAGCAATGAACAATGCGAGAAGGAAGCACCCCCTTACTATGAGTCTTCGGGAATACCTCCCAATACAACTAGTCCCTCAAACTAGATATCCTAACTTATCCAACCCAAGGCTATCAACAATACGCATGATGCTCAAAACAGATGTAGGTCTCCAGGCACACATATTTGCATAGTACGATGGCTTTCGTTGCATTACGCTTGAGTGAAGAAACCTGAACAAATTCGGCCAACCGTAAAAAGTCAATCGGACGGGGCATGAAAAGAACCGGGAGTGGTCGAGTGGGCGAGATTGTCGGGGTCGTAGGTCAAGATTTGGGCCGTCGTATGTGGTCACACTGACACTGCTCTCGAACAATTAAGGAGATGTATCATAAGATATTCTACAGATGCATTCCTTTTCTCCCTTTTTACATATATCTGATACTCAACTTTTGATCCTTTTCACGAATGACTCGTTCCTTACCTTGCCCCCCCGATATATTCCGAAAAATAGAGGAAAGCATCCTCTACAACTTTTTTCTGCACATTTCTCGAGTATGAAGCAAAAAATCGAACTATTATCTTCTCCACTGGAGGAAAAAGATTACGGAGACCAAGTCACGGTGATTCTCTTAAGCTTGAAATGGTATGTTATGAACCAACTGCTTATAGGAAGGAATCGACTTGAGAAAAGAGGAAAGGCGAGAGAGGCGCAGTTAAAGAAAGTTGGAGTTGGCAAGATTTCAGCTTTGTAATTAGCAAGCAAAGAAGTATCTCCGGCAAGATTTACGAGACAGCGTTGCTTAGAAATAGAGTGTGGCATAAATGGATAGGCTTTATAATTGTGAGATTAATGAGGAATAGAAAATAGTACATCTAAAGCATAGAGCAAGTATCTAATGATTGGATATTAGGATCATACAGCTGAAGTTGTTTTCCAATGTTAAAAGAAAATGAAAATCGTCAATGTCTTCAACAAAAGTTCGTAAATTTCACAGATCTAAATTGACTATTTTTATTTAAAATGTGTATTTTTTATGATGTGAAGACTGAGTCGATCACTATACTGATAGAAGTAACTTAATATTATTGCTGATCAATGTTAGTACTGTTAAATGTGGGATTATCAACGAAAAAAAGAATACATTTGCCGCGAATGTTATCGATAAAAAAAGTCGCCAATTTTTCCAGATCTTTAGTAAAAGAGAGTATACCTTGATCCACACCTCACTATCTGAATCGAAAGTTTGACTGATTTGCTTCAATTTAACCTAAGTTTACTTATTTACCATTTATGTAAATTTATCCCAGATGCATGATATGATTTGGATTTTACGAAACAAATAGTCTGCCGAATATTGTTTTTAAAAAACCCTTTAGATATATTTATTGTATGGATGAATGTGACAAATCTAAATAAAACAGATGGAATAGAATTGCAAAGATTGCTGACATATCATCACAGCATATTGAATAATAACGGTGTTTTTATTTCAATTCTCCATTGTTTTTTCTTAATTACATGGTATTACAGACATATCCATCCATGTGCAACTGAAGAATAATATCCCTGTAATACCATGAATATGTCTGTTATTGTAATTGGTCGAATAATTAATAAAATTGAAACAGATGGTAGGGATAAGTATTCAACAGCTCAATTTCTTCTACAAAATCATTTAGATGGAAGAAATGTTTGGCATGCAAAAATTCATTTCAGGAAGTAGGCTTTTTATTTATTCAGGAGGAAATCACTTTTCCATTTATTATTTTCCAGTAATCAGAGATCAGAAGTATATTTCTTAAATAAAATGTGGAAATATGAGATTGTTTTCTTCCAAAATAACTTAAATCAAAATAACTTTCAAAAGTGCACTACTTATTGTTTCAAATTGATATTAATTTTAGATCTTATTCTAAATTTAATTTAAACTCTATTAGTTCCAGGAAAAAGTTTATGTTATTCGCTTTCTAATAATAAGCACACCGTAGAAGTAACGCTTCAATTTATTCCGTCTGCCGGTTTTTATCAAACATAAATTTCTAATGCTTTTCTGAAAATACCGTTGTACATTCTGCCATGATTAAAGTTCATCGTCCACTTTCTTTTGTAATACTTGATTTTATTTGATTCTGAATCAGTTTAAATAAAGTGTTGAATCATTTAAAAAATTATCATCATCAAATCCATTTTAAAATAAACGCTTTTTTCCCACATGAAAATTCCTTTCCAATATCAGATAACAGTTTCAAATAATAAAACATACTAATTGAGTGATCTTGTCAAGTCTCTAAATGATATAAATACTTAATATAATGGAGTAGTAATAACATATGGAAATAGTTATGTAAATGTAATCAAACTAATTTACGAGATGAATTGTATAACGGATATTTACAAGTAAAAAACGGAAGTTTAATATTTAAATGAATTTCATCGCTATAATACTCTACGAAAAGTAATTGGAAGCAAAAGTACTCTTTACAGCCAAGTTCATAATCGATGTTTTATTTTTAATGAGCATTTCAATTATTTGAAAGCTTTTTTAGTCTCACTGAAAATTCTGCCTAAAACTTTTCGGATAATTGAAAGTCTTATTCATTTCTCAGTATTGTTCATTTCTATTTCATTCCAAAATACATATTCTATTTTATTTATTAATCATAGAAGGTTGTACGATTTAAATATTTATTTTATAATAAATATTTATTCTCATCGATCATATGGGAAGTGTCTCTAATTTTAAAAATCATTTATGCATTATATTATTGAAAGTTTTGGAAGGGTGCGACAAATAACGACAAATAGGTGTCATTTATGTATGTCCGCTTATTTCACTAACACAAATATGAATCTCTTTCCTCAAATCTCAACCGCTAAAATCAAATATTATTATTCATTGGAAAATTTTTCATGATTTTTAGAATACTTAATCTTAATTCAGAATACTTAATCTTAATTCAAAATTTAAAATTTTTTGAGTTAATTAAATGTTTACTATATTTTTTTTATTTCATTTATTTGTTCTTTGTTCTTTTATGATTTTATCTTTCATTTGCTCTGTCATTAACGTTTTATGAAATAAATGAATGCAATTGCTAAACTCTTTATATCTTCTCATATTTTAAAATTCCAAACCTATTCTTACTTTACAATGAATAAAGTAATAAATTATGGATTAATAGTTAAACGTATCGTCCTTAAAGAAAAATGGAAATTGTATGATTGGTGTTAGTGGCATAAATACAAATGCTTCTTTAGCATCATTTTATAATCGAAGAACTTTGTAGAATTTGTTGATGTATCAATTCAATTGTAAAGAAGATATAATATAGTTCCTTTGCTATGATGGATGTAACATTTATTTGATGTGAAAAGTATTTAAGAGAAGAATATCAATATTTTTTAAGTCATTGTTTTATGAAATTTTAAGAATAAATATTTGCATTGTTTTTTTGCATAGTAATTAATTAACACTTTTATAATAGCTAAGAATAATTACATCAAATTTATTGATATACACATATGAAACAGAGAAATGATAATGATAAGGAAACTAATCAGGTTGATTCATCTTGAACTTTCTTAGATTCTCTTCTTCTATTCCATTCTTCATTCAGATGTCATCCCTATATATTAATGTGTTATAAAAAGGATCGTTGCAAATATATGGTAAAAAAGAATTGAAGAAAGAAAACGATGAAATGATAAATTGAAATTTGTCGTTCTACAATTACAAGTAGCATACATTTTATTTTTCATCCTTCACATTTCAACGAAGTTTCACACTCCCAAATTTCTTTATTCTCTTCTTAACTATCACAACACAGTTGAATGGAAATGATTTTATTCAACATGCATGTAAGTTATACAGACATGTTGGATTAATTAATTAATGATCGAATTAATTAATTTACTTATTACATGTTGAATTATTTAATTAATTTTCAACTAGTTAATTGATAACTTTCTCATTCAATCATTAATATAATTTCATATTAAATTGTCTTGCAATTCTTTCATTGAACACGCCTGACTTTTTGGAATATTTTCCAATGTTAGCTGTCAGCTTCAACTTTAGTAAGCTTTTAGTAAAATTATGAACCATTATCATTGCTACGAATCATCTAATTGATTTAAAATCAAAATGATAATTTTAAATGTAGCATAAAATCAAAGCCGAAATTTTGAAAATGCCGTAACAATATTTAGCACTAAAAATTTTGGTTATAAATATTAAGTAAGAATGAAAATTTGAAACTTATCTATTCGTTCATATATCAATACTACTTGACAACTTTTTAACTTGCAGTAGCGATAGAAGAAATATCAACGAATCTATTGATGATTGTCCAAATGGGAAAAATTCTGAAGTGATGAAAGTATTGATAAGAAAAGCCAAAATGGTTGAATTTCAACTGAGCATTTCAGGTGGAAAAAAGTTGGCAAATAGTTTGAACTATTTAAATCAATTGATCGATAGAATTTTTCATCTTCTCTATTTCAATTTCCATTAAAATATAACGAATGAAATTTAATAACTTTCTCTTTTCATCTTTATCATCTAATTTCCAAAAAATTTTAAATCAATCTAAATATAGGAATAAAATTTTCACGTAGCCTAAAATAACTAATTGTCTTAATTTTGCAGATATATCATTGAATTAATTTGGATGGCCAACAAATAAGAATAAAGGTCTTTGTAGATAATGCTATCACAAAAATATATCAGCATTTCTTATCTTTTCAAACTAACTGCAAGTGAGTTTAAGTAAATTTCTTAATTTCTTTTTTTTAACTGAATAAAAACTTCGTGCTAATATGGTGCTAATATATATGTGCTAATATATTAGGCTAAAATAAACCTGTCAAAATTCCATCTATCATCAATTAATCTTTCAAATTTACATTATAAATTACACATTTCTTCCTAGTTCAAAATATTATAAACTATATTTGAAATAGTAAATATAGCAATATGATATAATTCTTCCCTCTTCCGGTATTTCTTGTTGAATTCTCCTCACTAATTATTCTAACCGCTCAATTTGCAATACTACATAAATTCTAAAGCAGAAATAATTTGTTAACTTTTACGCTTATGTTCGTTCATTAGTAAATAAGATAAAAGAACCAAAAATTCACCTATCAAAAATGTGGTGAAAAAATTTTTGAATGAATGACACTTTAATTTTGAATAAATGACACTTTACTAATGATCTCTCGTCTTATCTCAAATTCTTATTTTTTGCATTTTGCAAGACATATTTGTTTTTTGACAAATACCAAATTATATTGCAAGAACGATGGATAATTAAAAGTACACTAAAAATAGCTGCCGGATAATTTCAATAAAATAATGCGGAATGGAGTTAAGTCCAAATAAAGTAGTCTTCTGAAATTGTTACATTAGAGAATATCAACTATTAGTGCCAACCATAAATAACTTAATTTTAGAAAGAAAGAAAATAATCTCTTCAAAGGAAAATCATATATATCTAAAATATTTGCAGCATTATTAGCAACTTCACATCATTTACCATCACAGTTTAAATTAGTCAATGATATGTTGGAAAGATATGATAAGAAGTCAAAACCTGTATGGGATCATAATAAACCTATCAATGTAACATTTAGCATGGATTTGTATCAAATCCTAGAAGTGGTTTGTTATTTGTTATATTTTGTTTTATCGCTAGGTTTATCATGGGTACTTATCCTCATCATGGTACTCATCATGATAAGTACAATGATCCTCATCATAATACTTATCATGGTACTTATTTCCTGAATTCATTTTCCTATTAATACAATTTAAAAATAAGGAAATTATTTAAAAATCTTTTTCAAATGGTGGAGGATGAAATTGACGAATTATGATATTATATTATTTATTTTGCTAATGCAATTTTTATTTGTTATCAATTACGATCCTACAAAAATAACGGAAGATTTTCTTTTAGAATGGACCACAACAATATGTTTTGATTAATGCTTGGATAATTGAGGTTAACTTTTATCAATCTTTCCTTTTTTTTCTTTCTCTGATAATGGCCAAATTTTTCAAATTAATTAAGAGATAGAAAAACTTTTTTAATAATCCTAAAATCGATTAATTTTCATTCAGAAATTTGGCTATTACGCAAAATACATTCATTGTTGCAAATTCAGACGAAATTTTATTTGTCACTAAATAATAACAATTAAATATTTTAGCTTTCATAATTATTAAATGAATTTAATTATCTGAATACTAATTAAATCGTCTAATTTCTAATTACGATATGATAAGAATACAAAAAAGATAAATGACAAAGATATTTGCTTATGTAGATATGAAATAAAACTAGGAGGTGGCACAAATTAATGGATTGCAACAATGTAATCTTTTAAATACAATGTTTCTGTAAATTTAATTAGTAACCTAGTATCATCATCACTAATTAAAAATGGCTATTATGATATGATATTATGATTTCTATTATGATTTGGCTATTATGATCTATTATAATTTTCCGCTTATGTTTTTTCCATCTTCAACTTTGTATGAATTAGTTTAAAAAATTAAAATTAAAAATTGAATTAGTTGTAAAACAGTGTTGCATTTAGTAGTATTTTTGTCGTCATGTATGATAGTTTAAATATACATCAATTGTAAAAGTCGACTGTAAATATGCATTAAAATTATTGTGGAAATAATTTCAGCTACAAATTATAAATTTAAATAATTTCAAATGCCGAATTTTAACCTCATCATATCATTGACCTCTGTAAAGCTTTCCAAGTGGTTAACAGAGAAATTTTTGCAATTAAGTAAAACCGAATGAATCTTTACTTTTCAATCAAAACAAAATAAAGAAAGGATTGATAATACTCGAAAAACTTCCAACAAATATAAATTGATAAATTTAATCTTTTTCAAAAGAAAAAACTTTTCTCAAGTTTTAAATATTTACGAAATTTATAGCGATGGTATGATGAATTTTTATATTGGCGTCCGGAAGATTATGATAATATTACGGAAATTCATTTACCGTATAGTTCAGTATGGTTACCCGATACAACACTTTATAATTCGTTACGTTCACTTTACTTGTTTTACTATTTACATCGAATGATGATAACGTGGAATTTATAAATAAATAATTTTTTAAATAATCTAATTATATCGTTCCTTCTCGAACAATAAACATATTCCACAATTAAAATTTAAATCAGATAATAGACTTATGCTAGTTAGATTTACAATAATAAATTCATAAAAATTTCAAATAAATACAGGTTAGTGATGAAAGATGATGATACGAGGCGATTGTTGAATGTAAAACTTACAACCGATGAAAATATTAGTGCTGCACATATCGAACTTCTCTATCCAACTATCTACAAATTCTCATGTCTATTAAATCTTCGTTTTTTTCCATTCGATATTCAGGTAAATGTCTTTGTGCAAAAGTGAAAAGAAAAACAATGTACCTGATTCTATCATCTATGTACTGCCTTCTGAATAAATCTAAAATGATCGTTTTATGAGAATCAAGAAAAATTTACAACTATAATATAATTTTGCATATTATTGTGATATTCTAACATATAGGATTTTAACTTAAACAAAAGCGTTCAAATTTAAAGAAATCAAAATTTTATAGTTGAAAGTAACCAGTTGTTATCAAATTTAAATTCATTAACAAATGTGATAATTTGTATATCTTAAGTCACTGATTAATTAAATTGATATGTTCTAAAAGCACTTTAGCAATCTAAATTACTAGTAAGAGTAATCTAGAATTTCTGAGTTTTCAAAACCACAAATTTTTTTTGTAAAGTATTCTTTTTTAGCAAATTAAATTATTGAAACAATTCCATTATTTTTATTAGCTTTCAAATCTTTTTACAACCTTTTTACAACAACCTTCTAATTTTGTTTGTTTAATGTATTATTATCGTAATAATTAATTTTAGATTTGTTCAATGATATTTTCAAGTTGGACATTTGATCAAACAGGTATTGATTATTTTGCATATTCGGATATTGTTGGAACAACAAATTACATCGAAAACGAAGGCTGGCATATTCTCAAAACATCAGGTTTTCACATTTCTTATCATTTTAATTTTTGAGGTTATTTCATCATATTTTTTCATAGCAGCTATGCTCTAAAAAGTTGCCAGCTCATTTTAAAAGTTGCCAAATAACGAATAACGATCATAAGTGAAGCCATTTCTTAATCACAACACTTTTTTCTTCATTTAACTTTCAACATAAAACCAAACGAACACTTTTCCATAAATTATGAAAAATACTTTTCTTTTAAGTTTCGAAGATTCCCAAATGTACAAATTGCGCTTTCTCAAAAATTTATCTTTTTCCCAAAAGGATTAAGAGCGATTAGAAAAAGAGCAATTGGAACTAAAATGCTAATTTTTCAAAATTTCAGAAATTTTTCAAAATTCTATTTTTATTACAGTAAAAAAGAAAGAAATAAAGTATGATTGTTGTCCAAATAAATACTCTCTTCTCGCAATAACATTATATTTACGAAGAAAACCATTATTTTATATTATAAATTTAATAATTCCGACAAGTATCACAACGTTGATCTCGATTGTCGGATTTTTCACGTATGTTTTTTTTTTCACAAATTTGCATAGCTAATTTTAGTGCTTGTAATTTAACGCTATCAGTCTTACTTCAAAATATATCATTAATCAATCTTAGAAAAGTTTTTTTAATTTTTGATGTTTAGAACATCGACAGCAAGTGGCATGCGCGAGGAAAAAGTATCGCTTGGTATCACAACATTACTATCAATGTCCATTCTAATGCTAATGATATCTGATCAAATGCCGACCACATCCACATTTATACCTCTTATTGGTTATTTTTCTCCACTTTTTAAATATATAATTTTTTAAATAATTGTTCATAAAATAAATCAGCTATCACTCTCGAATATCTTCAATCAATTCAAATCATTTTTTCCATTCATCTTATTTTAGGCTGGTTCATTTTGGCTATGATAACAATAATTACTTTCGCAACTTTAGCATCCTCTCTTATCATTGCTATTCAAAAAGGTGGTCATCAAAAGAGTCGTCTTACTCCACGTATTGTTTGCTTGATGAAGTTGATCGCATATATTATACTTGAAGATATACCAAAACATTTGTTAGAGACGCCGGAGGTGTAAAAATTTATTTTAAATAATTGAATAGTTCTTCAAAAAAAAGGGATAGAGTTAGAATGTGGAAGAAATTTCTAAAATTTAGAAAACGATACAAATTAAATGGAATCAGAAGTTTCAAATGAAATATCATTCTCCATGTGTTTTTAGAAGAATGAATATTTTAGTCAGACTATTACTAATTAAATACTATATTTAGAAGGAGTTGAAGACAACAGCTTTACGAAATGAAAAAAGCCAAGAAATTCTGAAGGCAAAAGAGCCAAATGGACGATGGAAAAAACAATGGACCTATTTACAAAAAAGGCAAAAAACACAAATAGTTGAACCACATTTATGTGAACTACCGGAATTATCTTACACCAATACCAATTTACTCTCACCGAAAAGCGGCCAATGTAAATTCATGTTTTATGGTAATTTAGCATTTACATCATGATCATAAAGTTACAATTGACTTGACTCTTTTTAGCTGATCAAGGAATTGATATCTCAGATATTCCGGATATTACTCCGACTACAGTAATTTCTTCTATATCTTCCATTCCCCAGTATGTTTTATCAGAAGGCCGTAATATTGCTTCAAAGATGAACGGAAATGATGGCGATTCAATTCTTACTGTTTTGGAAAAACCTAACTTTGAGTTAGCGCAACAAAGGTTGCCGCAAAATGTTTCAAGTATGTTATTTGCGTAGAGAGGATTGTGGATTCAGTAATATTCGGAGTGTTTCAGCTTGTCACAATTACAACTATTATTAGAACCACTAGCTTTTTTAAAACACTGATTTGCCCTATAATTAATCAAATTATTAGTTGTCAATTAACATCGTGCAATCATTTTATCAGTTCAATTGACAAAACTCATGAATGAATTCTCATGGGTTTACTTTAAGATGAGGTCAGTGCTCGACAGAATCGTCGACTAGCACGGGATGAATATGATTGGATGGCAAAAGTATTGGAACGATTCTTTTTCATCTTGTTTATCAGCATTTTTGTATTTGTCACAATTGGTATTAATTCCCTTGGTTTTTACTATTGGTCTTCTATCGATTACATATTGTACGATAATACTATTGAAGATTTTTCTGAAAATCTAAACAATGAAGATTATCAGGACTGATTTTTATTAATTCGCTTTCTAATCATCTTTTATATCATCTATTGAAGTATCAATATGAGTTATCAAATATGCAACAGAATCTCATCGTCAATTTAGAAATTTCCACTGATACATACCATCAAACCATTTTGATGTTATTCAACAGATGTCCTATCCGTATCATATCGTAGCAATCTCTTCCCTTTCATGGATAGAATTTTTTATATGAAACTCATTAAAGTTGCTTATTGTTTGTTTGCTTATATTTGCTTATCAAAAAAATTGAAATTTATTTCAAAAAACAAATTCTATGGTGAAAATGCAACAACAGTTTATGTACTAATGAAACTTGTTTGACTGATCTGATAATTTTTTATCATAAAATAGATTTATTTACTTAACAATAAAACATCTGATGCTATTTAAAGTGACAAATAATTACTACAACGATTGCTTAGCCTATTATCATTATCATTAGTCATAATGCAACCAAATCTGTACAAAAATCATTATCTAAACTCATCGATATATAAATAAAAATTATTTCTTCCTTGCATGGATGAAATTAATAGGTGGAATTTATTACAGGATTCGGATGCCAATAAACTTTACCTGAATATGACTGTCACAATGATTTTTTTAATCGTTTTGATGATATTAATTAGCAATCTAATCATATATTAAAAATGTTATAGGAGATGAGAAATTATGAGTTCATAACACAAAAATAATTTGCATAAGACAAGAATAATTAGCAAATGATTATTTCATTAAATTGGTGACTTCTTTTGTTCTCATTTGTCCCAGTAAACCTAAAAATATCTTTTTTATTAAACAATTGAAAGAGTAAAATTTTAATTTTATAAACTTCTACTTTCAATATTTTGTTTACCTCGTCAATATTATTAATGCATAAATTCGTCTGAATCTCAAATTACTGTTTACTAAAAGGCAACTTGTAATTTCTAATTTTTATTCTATTTAACCTTTGACATAATCCTATCATCTACTTAGTTTAATAAAAATGCTATTTATAAATGATAATCTTTCTTGTAATATTAAAAACGCTAATTCATATTGCTATCATTTGTTTTTCAGAAGCATTAAACAATTGATTAAAATTCTGATAGCCTTTTCAATAATAGACATAACTTTGATGTTATGTCGTTGTTTCTGTTTGCTATAATTTTAGCACTGTCAATGATTTTCTTGGAAATTCATCAATCTTTTTCAGGTTTGTTTTTACTTATTCAATCCAAGATATCTGGAGAGTGTATGCAAATGAGTTTCCTTTCGAAACTTTATCATTCAATTTAGAAATTTCTTTTAATATTAAAATCTCAAAAAAAGAAATCATAGTACTTTAGCTACGATTGCTGTAAGTAGCGATTATGTTTAAAGATATCAAAGTTTAGTATCGTTTGTAGCTATTTTCAGAAGTGGATAAGAACGATGAAATGAATGGAATGCATCATTTTATTTCAGAGCGACAACAATTGCCTCACGTTCGATTGGTCCGAGATTTACTCTCCACCGAGAGGTATTATTTTTCTTTTTGGCTGATATAGAATAATCCTAACACGGGAATATATACAAAGAAAATATCTGCTTGAATTTCATATCTTTTAATATGTTATAACTTGAAGTATAAGTATTTTTGTCTATGGAAGGTATGATTCAAGTGTTCGACCTGTTGGGAATCATTCCAAATCGTTAATGGTACATATCAGTATGAGTTTATATCAAGTCATCGATGTGGTTTGCTTTCTAACATTTTCATCTGAAATTAGCCTTTAATGAAGAACAATAAAGTTTGATATTTACTTTTAATTCGTTCTTATTTTTCGGAATAAAATTATTTGAACTTTATCAGTAAGTTTTAATAAATTGCTATGAGTAGAATTGAAATACACTTTTGTAGGTGAGTTTAATTTAATTTCTAATGTGTCGGTTTGATTTCAATTCTAGTCATTTGATAATACATACGTTTGTATTTCTGTATTATTTACATCCTATTAACTGTCCTTCTGCTGTAACTTCGGTATTTTTACAGGATGAACCATCACAATGTTTAACTCTTAGTGTATGGATGACTCAGGTTCTGAGTTTAGATTTCATTTTATTTTGCCTTCTGTCTATTTTAAATAAATTTAATTTATATTTAGTTCGGATTTGTTAGTTGTAAAAACAATCGGAGCGTAAGTATAATTTCTATAGGAAACATTTAATCCAATTCAATTTTTAGGGAGTTAATTGTTGTAAAAAATTGAAATTAATATTTAAGAAATGGGTTGATGAATTTCTGGATTGGGATCCTAATGATTATAATATGATCAATTCTACAGTGCTTCCACATGATGTTTTATGGATCCCTGATACTTTCATTTACAACAGGTACTCTACCTTGTTTTATTTCTACTTCAAACTTTTGAAGTTCTTAATTTTTTATAAAATATTTTGATTGTAAATTTAGCATGGATATGAATCGTGACAAAAGTGAACGATTTATGAATGTTATCGTAAAAAGTAGGTATTGGAATGGTAAATATGGTGCTGAAGTATTTTTCTCATATCCAGCACTTTATACTATACGTTGTCATATAGATATACATTATTTTCCATACGATCATCAGGTTTGCTCATTAATCAATCAGTACTAAAACAATACATAATGACTGATGAAGCAAATTTAAGGCAAGTTTTTTAAAGCAGAGCAAGAAGACAAAAAATTAATGAAAAGTTGCTTCGTAGAAGTAATGCTTCAATTTTATTCTTGAGATTCGATAAACTGTACTGAAGCTTTTCATTAAAACCTTTATATTATCATTTTTTCAGAACTGTACTTTAACTTTGGGCTCATGGACAAGCAGTAAAGCCTTACTTAATTATAAGGCTGATAAAATAGTTAGTATGCATTCGTATATACCAAACGAAGAATGGGATGTCCTCTCTTTCAATCTTTATCGTCATGAAGTAAAAATTCTCTTTGAAATTTCCATATTTTTCTTCTTGTCTAATTCCATTTTAATCAAAATATTAAACTGAATAAAGAATTGATTTATAAATTATAAAAATTTTTTAAAAGTTGAATATTTCTCTCATTTTACAGTATCAATATGCATGTTGTAAAGATCCGTGGATCATTATCGAAGGATCTCTGATTATCAGAAGGAAACCATTGTACTATATCGTCAATCTCATTATACCAACGATTATTTTAACATTAGGTTATTATCTTTTCATTAATTTAAAAATTTACAAAAGAATGAAACTTTTGAACATTAGTAACTATTCCAACGATGTAGTAATAGAAATACAGAAATTTTTATTTCCTAAAAATTCTTATAAAGTAAAATATCAGAGAAAATAATTTTCACTCTTTGTATTAATTTGAATTATAATTTCAGTGGCAATAGTTGGCTTCTTTACGCCATCTTCAACAAATGATGAAAGAAGAGAGAAAATTACGATCGGCATTACCGCCCTGCTAGCAATATCTATCCTAATGTTAATGGTTTCTAATCAAATGCCGACAACTTCAGATTTTGTGCCTCTTATTAGTTAATATTAATTTAATATAATTGCTTTTATCTTAATTTATATCAAACAATTATTTAAACATATCAAGACTGTAAAATAGTAATATCACATTTTGATTATTGATTTTCTTTTTGGTATATAATTTCATGATAAGAATAAGATTTCATCTTAAAAAGTTTATTTTTCGACTTTGAAAATATAGCTTTTAAATGAAATTTTAAAAAGGTGTTCAGTGATTTTAGATGAAATGCGATAGAAAGAAAATAGCTAATGAAGAGTTATGTATGACAGGCCTGTTATGTATGTAACAGAAGGCCTTTCATAATTTCACTGTTTACAAATAGATACTTTATGTTATATTAATTTACTTAACTTTTTTACTAATTAAATAAATCAGCAAATATAACAAGATTAAAATTAATAATTCTTCAATGAAATTCTTCTAAAAAAAAGAAAGTGAATTTAAAAAAATATTTTATTGTTTTTACCAATGAATTTGATGTAATTTTAGCTTGGTTCTACCTGTCAAATATTATCATCATTTCTACAGCAATATTTTGCACATGCATTGTTCACTATATTCATGGCAATTATAAAAATCATAAATTACCACCCAACGTTGTTCGAATATTATTTTTCAAATATATCTGCAACTGTTTATGCATTTCACCACCATATCAATTAATGATGTTATGGAACAGAAGTAAGGTAAATCATTTAATTTATCTTAATTAAAATATCTCAAAACAATTTTAAACTTGTTATCACGAAAAATTGAATACATCAATGATAATTTCACTTTTAAATACTTAGACAAACAAATTTTTGTTACCTTTCACGGCGAAATGTTGAAACAAAAGAAGAAATCTTCATGTCATTTAAAGGTGAAGAGTGACAGTAATATCGGAGGAACACAGCAAAGAGCGTCGAGATTATCTGCAAAAGAAAATTGGGCTCGAATTCCTCTCACCCTTAAAGATATTTCAGCTAGAAGCAAAGGTTAAACTATTGCAAATGCTTGTAGATAAACTAAACATCAAACTTCAACGAAATCAAAATTTAGACAAAAGAAATTGGTTTATCTAAAACTTCTGACCAACTAAAGCGTTGGTCAGAAGTTAGTTATAATCTAACAACATTAGTTATAATCTAATAACCACTAATCATCTACTTTAATCACTTTAATTATGTTATTCATCATTTACATTAATGTTATTTGGAAGAATAAAATTTTGAGGTCAATCGAAGGTTATGCACGAAGAAAGCTCACTGACATCTATAATGCAAAAAATTCGAAAAATATCAACGGATCACAAAGACGTATCACCTTGGAATACTGCTGTTCAATTTATTCGTTTTACTAACGATAATTTACCGCAAAAGGTAACAAATTAAATTAGTAATTGGCTAAAATTATTACATTTCTCAGTGATACAGAATAAACCTTATCACTTATCACTGATGTGGAGAAGCTCAAGTAATAATTACCTCTTAAAATAATCAATTCCTCATTTTCTTTCCTAAAAAAATTCGCAACAAACATATGCTCTATTTAGGAAGTTGTAAATAAGGACATAGAAGAAAATAACATAAAAATTTTAATGAAGCGTATAATTAAATGAAATGTTTGAGCATATTCAGTGATAATAATTTTCTATTCTGAAATAATTCCTTTGTCAAAAATCTTTTTAATTTCATTAAAGCATATAATAAATTCGATTTTATTCAGTGTCAAAAATAGTTGGATGAATTTGAGAGTAATGATTATATGATTATATGAGAGTAATGATTAAATGATTATATGTTGTTGTTATATTGAAATAGTTAAAAGTTATAAAAAATTGTGACTGAAATTTTTATAATATAAAAATTAAACTAATTATTTATATATTTTGTTTTAGATTGAATCAGTTGAATTAAAATCACTGAAATATCATAGACAATGCACATTAGAATGGGAATTCTTGGCAACAATAGTTGATCGAATTTTTTTACTCCTCTTCTCAACTATTATCATATTTATTATTATCGCTCTTACACTAACTGCTAAATTGGCTCAGTATCATTTTGATGGAGCACGAGAAATCGTTCACAATTAATGATACCTATCGTATTTAATAATATGGCTAGGAGAGGCATTCTTTATCGCTTATTTTAATTGATAGTTATAATCTAACTGTGATATTGACTGTTACGAATTAGGCTTTTGCATGAGACTAATATTTTACATTCGTTTTTACGGATTAGGCTTTTGCATGAGACTAATATTTTACATTCGTTTTTACGGATTAGGCTTTTGCATGAGACTAATATTTTACATTCGTTTTTACGGATTAGGCTTTTGCATGAGACTAATATTTTGCATTCGTTTTTACGGATTAGGCTTTTGCATAAGGCTAATATTTTACATTATTTACAAATTTCGTAAACAAAAGTTTTCAATTCCTTTTTTCTTCCTAAATGTGAAAAAGTTTCTTTTACAATTTAGCAAATGAGGAAAGAATTAATTTCTTCACTTTTCAGTAATCTTTAAAACAAAATAATGCTACCAGTAAATTTGCAACAGTTGAGAGAAAACAATTTTCAAAAAAGAATTATAGAGGAATTGGGTGTGATAAAGAATTGGAAAGATAAGTTGCAACAAAATTTCAAAATATTCAACGAATACAAAAAAGCGAATGATGCAATCAATCGATGAAGTTAACAGGAACAATAACGGTCAGTTTGCGCATAATGTAAATTAAGATTCATTATTTATAATTCATGACAGAATTATAGTAATGACAGAATTATAGTAACAGAATGACAGAATTATAGTAACACAATAATTATAGTTTAAATTGACAAATTTTATATGAATTAATCTGAATTCATCATCCTACGAATGATTTTTTCTTTTGAGAAAATCATCAATGAAAGATATATTTTGGAATTTGAAGAATAAAGAATGAATCGTTCAACAAATTTAGTCGAAATCATTTTGTTAATAAGAAGTGATTTTTGACAATTGCATATTCTATGATATACTATAAGCTTCCGAAAAATATTAAAGAATTATTGTTATGATTTTTTATGTTTTTAAGTTGAGAGAGCTTTAGTTTAGCACAATCGTCGAATTGTAGTGAAAGCTTAATTTATTTGATGAAAATGTCTATCTCTTGACTTTATAGTATAATTATCAACAATAGCGATTATATGCTTTGTCTTTTTCGGCTGAAGATTCGTAAAGATAGTTGAGATTGCTTGCTGAGAAAGTTTCGAAGAATTTGATAATTTGTGGATAGCAATACTGTCTTCCCAAACAGTAGCTAACTCTTATATCGGTCTTAAAATAAATTAGAGAAACGGTGACTTTGTAGAGTAAACTAATGGTGCAAAGTGATTAAACATTCATTTGATAAAGTGAAAACTGATAACGAAACAGACTTGTTCTGAGTACATAAGCCAGTGGTGTGTTAACGATCATTAAGTCTGTTATAGATGACGACGATGGTTAATGATTATAATAGAATCGTAAATTGAAAAATTACACATAGCTTATCATAACATTATACCGGGAATATTGATATAAATGTTTTCTGTAGCATAAAATTAAACGATACAAAAAAACTTTAATAATATAAGTAGTTTTATATTGCAATGTTATTTCTGGATTTGCGACAGCTACGGGAGTATTTGGAAGTTAAATTGTTTCAGAAATTTGGACAGTGATTCCAACAATAACAAAATTTGCATTGGAAAAAGAATCAATAAAGCCAAATTTGAAAAAAGCACGAAAAATTAAGGTTGAATTGAGGAACAGACAACTGAAGGAATATAAAATTGATAACAAAAATCAAAACATTGATAATTTCATAAATTCTCTATCAGGACTAAAATAACAAAAAATCAGTTCAAAACGTAAAATTATTGAAGGATTGAAAGGAGAGATTATCTCCATAGAAGCGAATGATCGATCATTGGGCAAGTTTTTTGATGCCCAAATACAGAAGAGCAAAAACATGTGATTCAGAAACCCGAAGGGAAATTCCGAATCTGAGATTAATCTTTGTAAAGTCTTAAAGCGCAATCAATGTATTGATTCATTTGGATCAGAAATTTAATAATAAAATATATCTTGTAATCACAAAGTTATCATCTAACAAAATTGTTTGATCGGATATTTTTATGCCCCATTCTGCTAAAATTGGGAAAAGCTTAGACATACTTGAAATGTTTGTCTCATTTTGATAAACTCTAAATCAATCACTTTTAAATTCTTATAAATTATTGATTTGATAATCTGAAACTTTGCTCATAAAATACTATTATTTAATAATTATTTAATAATAATATATTTACTCTATTATGAAACATATTATTATTATTGCTTAATAATAATATGTTTACTCTATTAGTCGTATTAATTAGATATAAATATTTTACTCAAATTTATGATTTTTGATAGTGATTTATTCAAACTGTCAACTAATTAATTAGTTTAAAACTGTTGATAAGATAAGTAAATACTCTTTCTTCTATTGTTGTCAATATTTTTTTAGTTGTTTAGATTGTGAAAATTTTTGATTTCAATTTTTGTAGCTGTTATATTTCCGTTTAATTTCAATTGAGACAGCTAATAAACGCTATAAACTTTAGTTTTAAACTTTGAACTTTATAAACTTTAAACTATAGAACTTTAGCTTTGTTCTCATACACCGTATTATTTATTAAATTTTGTACTACATATGCATTACTGCATTACTGTAATGATGGATTTCATTTCAATTACAATAATATTTAGGTTAATATCTAACTTTTCAAATACTTAATATCATAAGATCTTTTTGAAACAAACATTAAAAGAAATGAAATTACAGTAAGTAAATAATAGAAATATTTATTCAAAGAAAAATTATTCACAAAAACAATTCAAATGTTTTTAAAAAGGAAAATGAAAAAGATGACAATCGTGTAATTTCAACATTATAAATTAATTATCGTAAAAATTGTCGTCCGTGCCAAAAAGGATTTCGTCTGTTTGATAATCTTATAATACGACGTTTGTGAACAATGTTTGATATTTGATATCAACAACTTTTTTTGTTATCCGGTTTTTCTCTCAATGATGAATTTTCCTTTTCGTTAGAAATTGATTTATTTCATTCAAATTATTTATGTTTACAAAATCTTCAGTTAGAAAATTTCATCTTTAACAATATTAACCTTTAATCCTCTTTTGATTATCATTAACGTGATCAGTAATTATGAAAATTGTTCGTTTAATTAAGATTTTTTTTAGTATGTCATTAAGTAAATTCATTTATTCGTTTTAATCAATTAATAAAAATCATCGATTAATTAAAACATTTCTTTCTTTATGGGAACAGGATTTAGCAATGTTTTAATAAGTATTATTAATTTCGGACTCATTCAAATTTTGTAGCTTAAATGAAATAACTGCGTGGTTCTCTTCGTTGCAAATGCCAAACATAACAATTTATTTTGAGGAAAAATAAAGTGAAATTTCTGCTTCTATTTGTGATTACATATCAGTTCAGTTTGAAAATATTTTATATTCCAACTGAATTTGAAATATTTTATATTTCAACTGAATTTCGTTTGCCATTCTTCTTCGTTCAGAAATAGTTTGATAAAGAAAAATTGATAAAGCTATATTAATATATCATTCTGATTTTAGTTGTTCGTAAAGCAAAGTATAGCATTTTCCACAAATTAATAGAAGATTAAACCATTTCCTAATTGGCAATACCTGGCAATTAATTCTTTTTTATATTCCACTTTGGTCTGATCCGACAAAAGAAAGGCGAACAACTTTTCGCAGAATAATTTGTTCTATTCAAAAGTTCCGTCCGAAATGATTCTGATAAGAGAAATTAATCGTACAAAAATTATTGGGATCAAATTTTGTGAAGAAATTTTGTGGCAAACAACAACACAATATGACATTTTCCCGCTTACGATTGTCAATTTACCATGTTTTTAAAAATTAAACGAATCTCTTAGATTACATCGTTATATTTCTATGAATGTTATTTGTTAATAAACACAATTCTTGAATCTTTCGTATTCGCCACAAAACATGTTTCCACTTCGCAACATTTCTTTTACACATTGGCATGGACATCTGATGGATATGTTTGGTGAAATCGAATATGACAAAATCGGATATTCACAAACTAAAAGGTCGTCTTTTTTTCTTTTTATTATTTGTAGTAAAATATGCTGCAATATAGCATATCAAAAGATAGCTTCAAATAATTTCCTAGCAATGTTATTATTATGTTCTCAGTCTTTTTAGCTTCAAATAATATTAGCCCATATTACGCCGCAGTTAGTTTATTTTTAAAATGATACTGACTATTGACTGATTAGGAAAAATCACTTTCAAATTTTTCCGATATATTTCATCCAATCAATTCGAATGAATTCACTCACTTGTTGATGTTATATTAACAGCGTTATTTTGATATCATATATGAATTCATTTAAGTAACGAATTCATTTTTGTAATCAAAATATTTCGACATAAAATTATCAATTTAATTCCAGTCAGTAATAATTCTTCAGTCTCTCAATTCTATCAACTCTCTTAACGATTTCCGTTTTGCAATTTGAACTTTTTTTTTGGCTTATTTTGAATTGATATGATTATATATTAATTAGTGATTATAGTCTGATATTGGTACAACTATTGTCGTTGTTATTTCTCATTTGTAACAATCGTTGCAACTTTTATACCACCGCAATACCACAGCGTGCAAATGAGCCTTGGTCAGTGATTTTATGTAAATTTGCTGATACAGCAGAATATGAGCCGCAAACACGTGAATGGTATCAGAAATGGATGACTGGTCCCAGTGAAGGTATTTATTTCTATATTAATATATAATTGCAATAATTAATACCTGATTTCAAAAGTTTTTAAATCATGCTACTAGAGAGCTAAATGAATCTGGGAGTTACATTAATTTACTCTTCAAGGCAGCTGTTTCATAAGCCAAATAATTCACCAATCTATTTAACGTCTAATATTTTATCTTAGTATAATATCTGAAGAATAAGAACATCGTATTGTGATATGTGCAATATGTTAGGTATGAAGAAGTTCCTCTCCACCTGTTTCAAACATATTTGAAAAGGTGATAATTTAATTAACAAGTACCATTTATAATATAGATAATCATCAGAAGCAAGTTAAAAATTAAATACCCATGGTGAAATTGAACAATTTCTCTACAGGATGAAATGATTAACTTCTAGGAAATATGATGATGAACAAACTGTGAAGACAATATAATATGTAGTATATGTTGTACATATTTAGAAGTTGCTAAATTCATCTTTCTATGCAACGTATTTTCCTATATATGCATTTATCCATTCCGGATACGGTCGTTCATGATTTTTAGACAAATGATTGTTCCCTTTGATGCTCAATCGTCCGCTTGAAAATCAAACAATATTTAGCAGTATTTTCTCAGCTTATTTGAAATTTCTGATTCTGAAATATAATCGATACAATTTTAGCAATGAAAGAAAAATAATTCAAATTTAATTTTCTGATACTAATATTTGATACTAATATTTTCTGATAATAATACTAATATTTGAACTAACAAATAATTTCATTAAAATTACTTATAGATTTCTTATAGATTACTTATAGACTTATAGATTATTATAAATTTCTTCGTTTTTTCAGATACAATTGCAAAATATTTTATGAATGTATCAAATGGAATTTATACTATAAAAGGTACAAAAGTATTTGGATGGTTTACACTTCCATGGACAGTAAAACAAGTGAAATTAATGGCTTTAATGGATAGAACTCTTTGGAATAATGATAATATCAGTTTAGTTGTAAGTTTCTGTTTTATATTGTTAACTAAGAAATATATACGAGAGAGAGAGAGAGAGAGAGAGAGAGAGAATGTCATAAACAGTTAGATTAATAATTTGAGAGAGAGAATGTCGTAAACAGTTAGATTAATAATTTAAGTTTCATTTTCAGTTTTTTATTAAAGCCAAGCAATTGTGTATTAAATTGGCCGCAGAAAAGGTAAATCTGAATAAGAGAAAGATAACGATACTGAACACAGAACATGGAGCAATGTATGGAAAGGAAGATGGTGTCCTAATCACACCACAATTATCATTCAACTCTGTTCTTACCCATGAAATGGTTCACAGTTTTTATATCGGACATTCCTACAGCGATCGTCAAATTATCGTAAGTTTCTTTTATTTTAATTAATCAATGTTTTGAGCATGATAACAGCATTATACGGTTTTTAAATCAAAATTTTAAATTTGAATTGAAATTTTTTAAGAACTTATATATTAATCGAAGAATTTATAATAAAATTTAAGACAACATATTTTGATTAAGAAGTTTATTAAATGCAAATACCTAATTGCATTAGTTATTTGAATTCAGTTAATCATTCTGCCCATTTATCAATTTATTTAGCAATTAATAAATCTACATAAACTTCTACCTTCTATTCATTCATGTAACATATCTCTTCGACTGAAAATAAGAAAAAGAATTTTTACTAAGTGAGGATTTATAAATATTTGAAAATTATCAATAGTGTAATTAAGAAATTCTATGTTAACAACAGAAGCGCAAATTTGTTATTCTTAAATTCTGAATGGTGCAATAATTGCTTAGATCTTTCCATTTGCCCATATGGGTGAATATGGTGATCGTTATGATTTAATGAGTACAGCAAATGCATGGATGTATATGTCACAATATGGCCTTAGTGGACCAGGTCTAAATGGACCACATCTTGATTATCTCGGTTGGTTGCCCAGTAATCGGATCCTTTATTTTGGAAGGTTTTATTTATTTATTTTGAAATAAAATGTTTTTAAAAAAATAATATAGTTATATGCTTAATATTGTAATATTTGGTTATAAATTATCTATTAGAGTTAAATTTGATAAATGAAATAATTTGATGATAATATGTTAACAAATAATACTGTAGAGATGGCAAAAGTAACTCAATTGTACGACTATCCTCATTAAGTATTCCTCATTCATGGTCCAATGATTGGCTTCTGATAATGATACCATATGACAAAAACAATCCTGCAAATGTCTTCACTTTGGAATTTCGTACACCAGTTAATTATGATTCTGGTATCGCACAGGTTTCAATTAACATATCAGCTAAAAATTCAAGATTCAAAATTGAGAAAATTTATTCTAAAATTATTGCAAATTATTTAGTGCTATTTATAGGAAGCGATTGTAATACATAAAGTTAATCGAAGAGGAACAAATTATTATTCAACTATAGTTACACATAGCCAAGATTATGATGAGATGATAGCCGGTACCGAATGGATACATTTCCTTGAACAGGACAATCCTAAAATTTACCAAACCATCAAAATACGTGTGGAAAGAATTGACAAACAACGGCATATAGCTATTTTACAAATTAACTCAACATTTAATCCAGTAAAGAATTATTTTCCTAATTAAAGTATTTTCATTGATAATATATCGCAAAAAAAATATTCAAAAATAGTTTTCTTTTTTTGGTAGATTAATGAATACTATTATTAAAAAATTTTTTAACACACCTGAAATTAAAGAATGATTTCAAAAAATATTTCAGATATCATGCAGGCATTTAATAAATGATACGAATGAAATGAATTATAATCGTACTTTAATTGAAACATATACGAAAGAATCTACTAAAATTTTACGATGTGAACGAAAGAAGTTTGTGTTAAATGATTTAATTACGATAACATTTCTAATTCAATAATTTATGATTGATATTTATTTAGCATTTGCATCTTATTAATTGGAATCACCTCTCATTAACAACTTATAAAGGATATGAGTAAAATTGTTGTAAAAGTTAGATATTTTAGATTTTTCAAAAATTTAGCAACTTTTGGTATGAATGCTTGCCATAATGGATATGTTTGGAGAATGATTGATCCATATGATTATGCTTGTGTTACAAAAAAAAGGTCATTTTAATTGCATCTATTTCAAAATCTTTACTACAATAATACATTTTTCACTTTAAAAATTAAATGAAAAATTATGGAAGAAATTTTGTAATTAAATTTTATATTACTTGCAAATTATGGGATTTCACTTCAACCAATTTATTCTATCTACTATAAATTTTTAGGCAACAGCAAATTCAGAATCAGAGAAATATCAGGAATCGTCGTGGTAACTGTCGTAAGCCATTAATGTTACGAAAAGCTTTCCCAACTGATAATGCTTGCGTAACACAGGAAGAATTCGCTATAACACAACAGGAAAATGCAGAATCATATAAAAATATGAAATATTATTCATTTATCAGCGGAGAAGAAACCATTCAGCCGTGATTCAGAAATATCTTGCAAATTATAATTGCTAAATTTATTTTAATAAATTAAACGGATTAGTGTGCAATTTAATTCATTCAGTTATTGTAAAATACTTTATTCGATTTATAACAACAGTTTATAATTAATTTATAATAACTTTCCGTTATTTCTCATTCAGCAATTTTCCGTTATTTTTCATTCAAGACAGTTCGTTATTTCTCGTTCAAGATTGCTCGCTCGTTACCTACAACATTATCGAACGTTCTAATTTGTATTAAAATTATTAATGCTTACGCAGAAATGTTAGCTTTTAAATGAAATGTTAGCTTGTTAAATAAAAATAGTAGAAATGTTAGCTTTTAAAAAGAAATGTTAGCTTTTAAACAGAAATGTTAGCTTTTAAAAGTTTATCTGATACAATTCTTTCTTAGACATGTAGAAAACTTTGAATGGTTAGTTTTAGTGGATTATTTCAGGTACTGAAATAAAAGACGAATATGAAATGGATCAGAAGATTTTGTAATATCCAGTGCGATGCATTAAAGTTCTAAATGTGACGAGTAAGGTTTGAATTGCAATACAGTGCACAAATGGAAAAAAAGTATTATAGTGTAGGAAGGTAAGAAATTATCGTTGAAGTTCATTTGTAACCTTTATCAATAGATATATTATAAGCATTAATGAAATTGTATTATTGATTGCTCTTTTCATCTGATAATCTTCTAGCTTTCTAAATTCCAACTTAAATTTCACACTTTTTATCTTTCTTCTCCTCCTAAAATTGTAGCAAATATATTTTCCTTTAAATTTTTATAAGATATACATCATCTCTTTATTTCTCTATGTCGAATAACTACTTTAATTCCATCTATTATATGTTGTGAGTGAACAAATTAACTCGTCAAGTCTTATTTATCAAACGGATGGATTATTTATAGCAATAGATGAGTTTCATATGATATGAAGTTATATTTCAGTAACAAATGAATTCGCAATACTCGAAATACAATGAATCTGGTGGTTAGTGTATCCGAAGAATCATATTTTCTATCTCAATATCATCTATGAATATTGCTAAGCATTTTCGGAATTGAAAATATCAGAAAAATGATCGACGAAAGATATTCAATCAATCAATTTAATGAGAAAGAACATTTTCCGATATATTCTTCGAATTTTGTTCGAGTGTACTTCCATTCCGATTATGAGATATAAATTTTTATTTCTCGTTGAAATTTCTCATTATAAAGAAGTACTTTTGTCTGAAGTACTTGAAATATACCTTTGCCAATTTAATTATTTGTTCGATTTTTTCATCATTCACCTTTTTTCAAATTGAAAATGATTATATCAGCTATATATCATAAATACCTTACTACTTTATCACCATCCAAGCAGCAGTATCGATAAGCAATGAGAAGACATTTTATGAATTAATGGATAGTCCCTGTGATATCGGCGACGAATAAACAAAGCCTATTTGAATTTTGATGTAAAAAAATAACTCAAAGATGAGCAATTGATTTTATGGTTTTCTTATTTGAATTGTGTATTTGCCTATTCATAATATTTCATCTTTCAATTCTTGTGATTTCTAAAATAAATAATTGTTAACTCTATTTTAATGTTCTGATTCTATTCTTCTATCTTTTGCATAGGAAACTAACTATTCAAATCTTTATCTATTCAATATCAATTTCATTATTAAACGCTTCCGCAATAATGTTTTAGATTTCTGCCCAAGGCATTTTATAAATCTTTCAAATTTGTTTACAATTAGATCAGTGATAGATTCAATCCAGCATTTTAGCCATTATATTATTAGGAAATATTTTCAGGTTTGATGTTAAATTCTTGGTAGATTTTTATTGAATTTCCGTGTTCCTTTTTAAATTAATTAATTTTCCGATAATTGATTTTTGATATCATGATGATTTGTCACTATTTATTGGTGCTGTCTGTTCCAGTTTTGGTTGGTTCGGATTTAATTTAAATCTACCCATCCTATCACATTTCGGAAATGTTTATTTCGTCGATAGGAATGAAATTAAGATGTGTTATAAATGAATAAAATTTTTAACATCTGAAAAGACATTTTACAAATCTTTCAAATTTATTTACAATTAGATCAGTGATAGATTCAATCCAACATTTTAGCCATTATATTAATAGGAAATATTTTCAGGTTTGATGTTATCTGCTTTACGACAAATTACCAAATTACTGTTTTAAAAAATTCCGAATATCACATGAATTTTATATGAGATTTCATGGATTAAAACTTATGAAATACATTTAGTATATTTTCAACTTCTAAATGGCTCTTATTTTCTTTTCGTCCATTTACGATGAATTTTGACCTTGTCCTTGCGTCCTTCGTTGCAGACATGTTTCATCTGCTTGTACAGTATCAAAGACGAATAAGTTTTTCTTATTATTATTGAGAAGAATCGTAATTAAGCAAATGAAACGCTAAATGACTAATTGTTTTATTAATTCTAATTTCAAGTGAGCATTGGGAGAAGCCAAAAAAGATTAAAATAAGGTATTTATAAACTATTCAAAGTATTGGAAAATTAAGTCGACGACAATTTTCTTTTGATCAATTCCATTTTTTTTTTGTAAAACAAATAACTTGCAAGGATAACTTTTTAAGACTCATTAATTATTTCGATTTCTGTTCAACTTTTTATGCTTCAATTAAAAAATTCTAATTACTGATACTTTTTTTTCGGGTCAATTTCCTTATTTCATTGGCAAATGTTATTTGCTATACACTCTTAATAACAATAACAATAATAATAATAAAAGATTGAAATATCTGAAATGGAAACAAATCGATAGTTTATTGTTATGCTATTAGAAGATTAACGAAACTGTCAACAATTTCCCCAATAAATATTCCAGCTATTGCAAGTGTGGGCCGATATGTGAATTTTTCCGCTTTAATGATAATTTAATAACCTTTGCATCATACCTTTTGCATGTACCTTAGAAGAAATTAATAAAATTAAGATATTATTTTAAATAAAATTTTCGCTTTTTTTCGATCATTCGTGCAATATAATCTGCAAAACTTCTTCCATTAACAAATCCGTTCCGTTTTTGGATATTTGAATTAGTTATTGTTTGCAGTGAGTAATGTAATAATAATTAATTGCTTAGAATGAATTAATTGGAATAGACAATGACACCTAAATATAAGTCAAAAAAAAAATGCCGAATAATTTGAAGGTTAAATTTGCCTAACAAAGAAAAATTTTAATTCCATCGAATAGCAAATTTGAATTATATTAAGTTCATTGTAGAAATTTAAATTTTCCTAAACTCTATAGTAATTTTTTCTTAGAATATTTAATGAGAACTAGAATTTGCTCAAAAATATTTGTTAATAGTTTGAAGGATATTTGTAAAAAAATTTCTTTTTCACGTTTTTGTTCATCGAAAATGGCTGAAAGATCTTAGTGCCAGATTAGGAAATGAGAACGACGTTGGTTACCTCTCTCTTCCTCCACAATCTCCTGCTGAGTTATATGACCTTCACGGTACCGTTGAAATGGAATATTATTGAAGGCGCAATGCTCCGAATATTTCAAACCAATTCTTCCTTCTCAATCTTGCAGCAGACTTTTTTCTACAGAATTATGAAATAACACAAATAATTTTTTTGAAGCTTTTAGAAAGCATTTATTAATTAAATCGCGAATGCAACCAATTTTCTTAACTTCAATTATCTAAATTTCTAGATGAGTTTGCAAGTGTTGTATTGTATTCAACAAAGTAAATTATTTCATTTCAATCTCCAAATAATATATATTTAAATAATTGGGAGTAAAAATTTCAGCTAAATACTGTTCACATATGCTTTTGCAATTAAGGAAAACATACGTAAGAATCTGAAAAACGTACGTAAGAATCTTTCGATTATGCTGTCGTTTAATTAAATATGTTCACATATGCTTTTGCAATTAAGGAAAACATACGTAAGAATCTGAAAAACGTACGTAAGAATCCTTCGATTAGACTGTCGTTTAATTAAATACTGATCACATATGCTTTTGCAATTAAGGAAAACATACGTAAGAATCTGAAAAACGTACGTAAGAATCCTTCGATTAGACTGTCGTTTAATTAAATACTGATCACATATGCTTTTGCAACTGGGGAAAACGTATATAAGAATCTGGAAAACGTATGTAAGAGGAAAACGTACGTAAGAATCTTTCGATTAGACTGTCGCTTAATTATAATATAGGAAAAAAGAGTTGATTTTTGAGAGTTAAATAAAATTTAGAATTAATTTTTCATTAAAGAAGTATTTTCATGAATTTCTTTTCTTCATTTATAACTTTTTTCTTTTTTTGAGATTCTCTGAATTTTTTAAAAATTTATCCCACTTTTTAAATTTTAACAATTTTTGGTCAAGTTTTGGGAAAGGGTTTTTTTTGCAACGTAAATAAGGTTAACAGCCCATTGTTGTAATCGTAATTTAAAATTCCATTTTTTTCTCTTTGAATAAAACTATTTGTATTAAAAGATTACGACGGAGTGGAAATTGAGGCGAAAATTCTTGTCACATGCGAATATCGCATATAAATAACAATCGATTTTAATGGTTCACTCTTCTACGTTTCCTACAATTCTCCTTCGTTTTTTTCAAATCTCATTATGCATAAAGCGATACAATATAATTTGATGAAAATGAATCAATCTCATTTCAAATAAATTATATGCTACAAAATTGATAATTATAAATGAAAAAAAAAGGAAGGAAGGATGTATGTATCTGAAGGATACACAAATGATCGATCGATCGATCGATCAATTGGGATGAATACGACTTTGTGGAAAATTTTTATTGTTGAAATTTGATTATTGGAACATATTAGTTTCTCATTTTTCAAATTTTCTTCCTATCATAAAATGATGGATAATTATTAAAGAGTTTAATGCTAAAGATTAATGCTTTTTTATTTCTATTATTAAATAAAACTATGTGTTCTTTCTTTTTGAATGATTTTATAGTCTGATCTTCTAGTATTTTGAAGTTAATATTTGGTAATTTTATTTGGGAATAAAAATTTTAATTAGGTTTAATTAGATTTGATTTTAATTAGATTTTTCTCTTTTTGTTTTAATAACTGTATGTATTCGAAAGCCTTTTAACTCATTGATATATATTTCATCACAAAATGATAACTCTTCAAGAAATTATTTATGTTATTTTAAAATTTTAATAGAGATTAAAGTGAAAACAGCACTTTAAAATGGTTTAATAATAAATCTTAAAATTGTTGCTTTCCAAAAGTTTACAAATTTTTCAACCGTTTTCGCCATCATTGCCGCATTCAGAAATGTTACTGACATATTTTAGCCTATAACTGATAGAAGTAAATGACATGAGACTTCTTGAACCTTGCATGGCCTATAACTGATAGAAGTAAATGACATGAGACTTCTTGAACCCTATATAGCCTATAACTGATAGAAATAAATGACATGAGACTTCTTGAACCCTATATAGCCTATAACTGATAGAAATAAATGACATGAGACTTCTTGAACCCTATAATTTAGTATAACTGAAAAATATGAAAATCAAGTGGTACTTCTCTTCTGCATTGTTGACCCCAATAAATTATTGAAAATTTTTAAAAATGAGTTGTTAGTCTCAAAATGATTGAAATTAAATTATTACGGTTTTCCGGGTATCGTTGTGTTACTTTACAATTGTAATAATAAAATTAATTTTACGTTTAATTAATAAAATTAATTTTTACATTTAAAATGTTAAGTAACGTATCGCCAAAAACTATATTACAGTACGAATACTCTCAATGATTTTTTTCAAAGCAAATTAATTTTATTATTTCGAATCATTGGTCATCAATTTTTCAAATTGATTGATCTCAAAGTGATTGAATTGATATTTCCTCGTATGGCAATATGAGAAAAAGCCAGATGACAATCGAATCATTTATTATCAGAATGGTTACTATCTTTCTTTCTTCTTCCTTTCCTAACAACCAGATCTAACCATTGTGTTATGTGTCGCACAGATACCCTAACCAAACTCCGATCATTATCGTTTCAAAGTTTTTCCAATTTGAAATACTTCTTTTTAGTTCCAAAATTTTCCACTTCTTTAAAAGATCGTGAAGTATTTTCTATCTTTGATATAATCATGGATTCAAGAGCGATATTCGATGAGATTTAAGGCTTTTTTGATCTATCATTTTGCAAGAATATTTCTAAGGATTCGTTTTCATTCATGACAATTGTTGTCGACATTTTCCGCAATTGGCTTATATTTGCTTTTCACTTTCAACTGATTTACCGAAACAATTTTTTAATTTTAATTTCCATCCTTCGTTTTTTGCTAGAGCTTTGTAGTACAAAAAATTTTACTGTGAAAACGATTAATTTAAAACCGAAAAAATCAAATTTTGATTTAAGGAGTTAAATCAAAATTTTTTTACCGATCTGAATTAGAATTTGAATCAGATTATAACTTGATTTGAAATCTAATTGCTTTCCAACTAATTTGAAATTCTCTTATTTCTATTTACTTTCCATTTATAAAAGTGTTTTCGATATTGTGCACCACCGTCTTAATTAGAAAGTCGCAAATCGATTTAGTAGCAATATAAGAAGGGGAAGAGGGAATTAGCTTTCCATGTTAATTTTATCCTAGCAACAAAGGAGAAAGGTAAGTTATTCAAATTTTCTATCTCTCTAACGTCATCTATTTTTGAAATTCAAAATCGTCAACTTATCTGAATTGTAATAGCTTAGTGATCTGAAAGAAATTGTTGCATAATCATTTATCAGCGATATGATTAAAGAATCTTTACTGTATTCCTAAATTCTCCCGGAATTTCATTGCCAAATTTTAGTGTTTCAGCGAAAACCAAAAGAGACTATACGGTATCCAAGAAATGGTAGATAACGGAATGATAATTTTTAAGTAAAAATTGTATAAACCAGGAAGGAAAACTATATGTTGAGAAATGGCACATAGATTATTTTAATTTACCTAATAATTAGCCTAATTGCCATTCAAAGAAACTTTTTCTGCTCTTTTTGAGAAATAAAAGATGTAACCTATTTTTTTAAATAAATCTAACTCATTTGAAAAATTTCTCCTAAATTAACGACTATTAAATAGCAAACTTCACTTACGTATTCTGAATACAATCATGGATATACCGACAATGTTTCAATTGACCTTTAAATGTTACTTCGAAATCTTATGGTAGACAGATTATAAAAAGTATTTCTCTTTCATATTGTTCATTCATTACTGATACGTAATCTTTTCGTTAACTGATATAGCATGTCTGTTGCACAATGTTATCACAGGTTATCATGCTCAAATATTGGATTTTATTGGTAATAAATTTGAAATCGATTCATTCTCTCAATGTTATAACAGTTTGGTCAGGATAAAAATTCTATTGTTATTATAAGGTCATTCGCATTTCCGGCTGTTGTCAACATCGTAGGTGTTATATCGGATGTGTTGTCAAGGTGTGTCGTGTAGACTTCACTGTCACTCTTTTCTAACCTGAATATAGCCAAGGACAGTGGTGGACAAAGGTTTATTGATCGATATTATCACTGTTGACTAGGACAAATAGGAACGACATTAACTTTATTTTGATTGTTATGGAAAGTTGACGAGATCTCACTGTTAATGACAGCAGTAAACGACAATTTGTTGTTGCTGACTGTTGCGTTGTTTATACTTTCATCGCTTCGCACCGGCAATTCTTCATATTATGTCCTCGAAATTCTCAAAGAGATCTCTGAAAAATATGCTCATTGATGCGTATTATGTACCCTAAAGGCAAAGATATCGCTCACTATATATTTATAATGAACATTATGATAATTTCGAATTATATGATGTTAATTAATTAATTAGAACAATTCCTTTAATAAAATCAAATTCAATTCAAGTTAGTAGAAATTTAAATTATTTTGATCTTTTTTTTTTCTCGTAAATTTCAACTTTGTCGTAATCTTCTTCCTCTTTTCATTTTATTCCTGTAACTTAATGTGTAACTCTGTAACTTAATGTGACACTTCATATAATTTATTAATTATATAATTAATTAAAATCAACATATTTTATGATTTATACTGAAAAATACTAAGAATAGTATTATTCAGCAAAACTTAAAGAATGTTGTATTTTATTTTTAACGATGAAAAAATTGTTGAAGTGACTTTACTGGTAGGAACTTGATTTTTCTGCTTTTTTCTTCAAAGTAGCAAAAAATTTTCTTCTCATTTGAGCTAAAATTATAAACATCCATTTTACTGTTTCATTCATTTCATTAAGAATTTTCCCGATCATTTCTTATCATTTATTTTTTAAAAAAAGGCAAAATTCATATTGACAGACGAATGAGTTCATATTGACAGACGACGACAAATGGTAATAGCATTTTTGACTTTTTTCTATTTTTGGCAATTGTAATATTTTTGAACCGATAATATTGATATTAGACATTGCTGAAAATTTTTATTCTTTCAAAAAACTTTAAAGATTTGAAATCATTTTCAATAAGAAAAAAATTCCAACAATCAATAGTTTTATTTCAAATAGATCGTAAATTGAGAATAAATTTTGATGACCTTTGCTGATTATATATTTGGGTGCTCATTTCCAACCATCACCATCATATCGATGACATTGTCATCATTCTCGTATTCAGTTGACACTCTTCTTCATTTCCTTTATGCCCAGGTATAGGATAATTTTGTTATACGATTTCTTAAAATTTAATCATCTGTTGATTTGATCATTATTATTATTATTACACTATTACTCATATTATTAAAGCATTCCTTCAACTATATTTTGTTCTTTCTATAATTTCATTTTTTATTTCAAAAATTTTCCAACAGAGAATAAACTCATCAAATGATATATCAAATTGAATGAATTGATTATCTTTGGATCAATGTAAAAATTCAACAATATTCATTTATTTCAATTATTTGTCAAAAATTTTGCACCTTTTCGAAATTATCACAATTATTATCTTTTATCACTTTTCTATTGTTGTAAAATAAAGGAAATTTTTGGGAATAAATTTTAATCAAAAAGATTATGGAATAATATGATTATCACTTCAAGGAAATTCTTCACAAACACTAATCACTAAATTATCATTCATCTAATTCCTTTTCATTGAAACAAAAAGTGCGACGAAATGTTTATTGGAAGTTGGAAAATTCTAATTTTAATATTGATATATATGTGTAGTAAAAATTACGAAAATAAAACGAGTTTCTTTGATGACATCTTTTTTTTCTTGTTTTCTTCTTTCCTTTCAACATTTCTTGAGAAATTTCACATTTTAACGAAATTATTCGACGATTGCAGAAAGAAAATCAAAGCGTACCCTCTCAATATCGTTTTTATCTTATGACCTAATCTTATCTTACATTTAAAACAATACTTATCTATTACTTATAATTAATAAGAAATCGTGATCATTGATTTTGAAACTGATCTATTGCTGTTGACTTTTCGAATAATTGCTCTGCTTGTCCTATGTACTATAAATTTAATGGTCAAGATTGCATGTTGATCGGATCCATATATCATCGTTGTTACGAAATTTTAGCATAACTTTTGTTACTCTTTAAATATCAATTAACTTTGTGTTAATTTCGATATTTATAGGATATTTCGAGTATTCTTCAATTCTTGAATTTGTATTTTGCACGCTTTGCGTATTTTCATCCTTAATGTTAAATTTTTAATGCTTCAAACGTTTAACCTATTTAATGACATGATTGATTAGACTAAATTCGTGAAAATAGGTTACATAAATGAAATTCAAATGAACGTGATGGTATAAGCCATTTTCATTGCTCCTGTAAAATTGAAGACGAAGAAGAATATATAGAAATGACAAGCGGCTTTGGGCCTATTCCACTGATGCCACAATCTATTGGACAACAGGTAACAAATTTATAAATTGAACTCCATATAATTAAATATTTTATTAAAAAGAAGTACTGAAAAAGATTATCATCTCAATTTAATATTTGCTTATTTAAATATTCCATTCAATAAGCTCATAGATTACATGTCTTACATATATCTTGTTTCAATGGAAAAGATAGTAAGATCAGATTATTAGTTTTAACTAATTTGAATTGAAATTTTCTAGTCAATGAAATTTGAAATTGCAGTCAGGTGATTGGCGGCAATCATTAGCGGCTTTACTATGCATAATACTATGTTTCGTTGTATTACTTTCGATATGTTGCACTGGAATATATCTAATCAAAGATAAACCTGTTTACGAGGAATTAGTTGATTATTTGGACAAATCGATTGCAATTAGTAAAATTAATTACAATCAGCAACTTGGATTTTTTGAACTTGCAGAAAATGAACTGCAAGTATTAGAACAACATCGAACGGTTTGCATTCATTGATCAATTTTCTTTTCATTTAATAGATTCAAATAAGAATATGAAACAAAAAAGGTTGTTAGGAAGTTATTTGGGATTGAATAAATTTGTCAACAATTATATAAAATAGTAATTAAAAAGAAATTAATTTTAACTTCGTTAATTCAACAATTATATTATAATTATATTTACAAATTCAATGATTTTTTTCCAGCTTACACTCAAAAAAGTTTTAATTACTAATTAATGCTTATGTAAAAAATACTTAATATTCATTATCTTTAATTTTACTAAAATTTCCCATCCGATCATTTCTGTTTGTTTTCAGTACAAAACTTTATTATGGACATTTCTATTTGCCGATTTGGGATGCTATTTTTTCTTAACCATTTGTATTCTAATATATTTAACTATGGATACAAACAAAGGCAAAGCACATATTGTTTTTTGGGTAGGTTATTTTACATTTGATTTTTTAACAATATGCTATATGTATCATTGTTTTTATCAATATTTTATCATTGTCAATATTAATTATCAATATTTTTATCAATATCAATATTAATTATCAGTATTTCATTTGTGAATTGTAAAGATGTTATAGTTAATGGTGAATTGATAATTTTTAAAATTTCAGTTCTTTTTTGTGATAGCAATATTATACTGTATAATGGAGGTGCATATATTGGCATTTATGATTTTTCCATATACATCATTGCTACCAACTGGTACCGAAAATTTACTGAATCATGCGATACCGTATAATCCGGGTGGATTAGTACAAATGGAACAAAGACTTGAATGTATCTTTAATTTAAATCTTTATGCAGCGCAAAAAAGGAAGCAGAATCCATCGGTAAGCTTAGCATTCATATAATTACCTTGCAATTTTCATGCACTAAATTATTCATTGAATTTTAAAAGTATTTATTAATGCTTTCTATCATTTGCTATGGGGTTAACTGATAATAGTAGTAGTGGTGATGGATGTAGGAGAAGGAATGATTGCAAAAATTTTGTCGACGAGAAAAAGATATCCGTATGTACAAATGATGTAAACAAAATAGCTTAAGTGAAAAATTACTGTTAAGAATGCTTCAACTGAAAATAAGACATTTTTAGACATTAGAATATTGTTATTGTAATGATGATTAAAATTTGAATTTGATATGAATAAGAGAGGTTATCCTAACATTTCAGAACACTTGCGATCCATATATTTCGTCAGCTTTCATAGGAAAAGGTACACTTTGGACACTTTTGGCTCTACGTTTAATACCAGTGGTCTTTTTTGTAGTATTAATTAGCAGAAAGGTGGCACTAAGTGAGGCATTGGCATCGGTAGCACAACGATTTCGAGCAGCAATAAAGCCTAACAATCCAAGGAGCAAGTTAGTTTTTCATTTTAGTATTATCACTTTTAATATTTTATCATCATCATTTCTGATAAATCCATTTATATACTCTCTGTTTATATATTCTAGATAAAAATGTTCATTTCAGGAAAACAAATTATAAACAAAATTTTACGAACGATAAAAGGACAATAATAGGTGTTCCATCAGCAACAACCACTCGGTGAGTTTAGAGTTCATTGTTTTATCTCATCTGGTGAATGAATCGAGTTTGCACAAAAATTTTACATTCGAAGCATTGGATAATTTTAGGCCTAATGTTGCATCACCGCAACCAATTCTATCATTACCTGCCAATGATGATCACAGCACAAGGTATTATTATAAAGCGAATGCCGCATGATGCTAGATTATCAGATTTAACGATGCATTAACATAAATGTTTAATACCATGTGTTAAATGTCTGAACAGACCAAGCCTATACTCAACTTCACTTATACTGTAATGCTTCTTTGACATGTTTATTATCAACTTGCAGATACATATTCCGTCCAGAAATTTATCGGCATGCTTTATGCTTACATTTCTGTTTATATCATATTAATTGATAAGGAATTAATCATTGTGACATTGCATGAATGCCATAACCTCATTTCATGGATGAATAATTTTGCACCACTTCATGACATTTTTTATTGCAGCTACAACAATGCCGCATTTTTTGCAACATCGGGTGCACCTGGTCTAACTGGCTTAAATAGCTCAAGAAGTAGCGAAATATCAAGGAGTGATGCTATCGATTTGTACAGGTTGAATGTTATGAACTTCAAATAAGGACGAATCTCTTTCCAAGATCATTTCCAACTATTTCTTTAATAATCAAATATAATTTCAGGCCATCGATGCAGGCAAGTAGTAGTATAATGTCAGAAGTTTAATATTAACTATCGAAAATTTCCAAGATAAAATTGACAGTTTCAAAGAGCAGATGAGATAGTCGCATTTTCTTGGCAAATGTAACATAGTGGAAATTTTATGAAAATCATTTCATCATACTATCACCTAAAGGTCAAGCTATTAATTGTCATCGATTATTCTCATATATTTCATCCATTAATTCAAATCTTTAAATACACCAAGAATTTGAATTAAACTTTTGGAAAGTTACTGCTCACAAAATTTTAAAATTTATAAGTCTTTCATGTAGTTAATTATTCATTGAACAATTTGTAAGAAAACATAATATTAATTTCTTTTAATTTTATTTTATTCATGTCTTTGTGAAATTCCTATGAGAGTATTTTTTACAGATTTAATAAGAATAATTTTTATATAAGTGATTTAGAAATTGTTGATGAATGGCTTAGATGTTAAGCCATTTCTTTAAACTTTTGTTTTTGTTTTATGTTGAATATTTCGAAATACCATTCCAATTATCGTTATCAATGTTTTTATTAAATGTTTCCAAAATATTTCATGCTTCATCCTACTTGTGCTTTTTCATTAATCAGATATCATTTCTTTTCTAAAATTATTATTGCTTGCAAAATGTGAATAATTAATATTTAATATCCGAAGGACAGAAATATGTCTCAAATCGTGGACACTGATTAGTTCCATATTTTATATACTTCGTGCTATAATCATTTCACAAATTTAAAGATAAAGTATCGAACGTGGATCGGAATTAAACAGGAATGCAGGTTTAATCCACCAGAATATACAGAGATAAAATGATTTTTAAAGGTGACCCAACTGTAAATTAGAAACGATTATTCACTTAGTTGTGAAGAGGATTTTGAACTAATCCGTCTAATTTCCTGCAGTTCAGTCAGTTCTTACCCATAATCGTCTCTAGGTTGGAATTTATGTCATATACCGAATGTGCTTCGGTCCTCGTCTGATCCCGTTGATTGGGATAGAGATTCATCTCATATTTAGAGTGAATATTCTAAATATAAAAATGGTATGAGCTTGGAATAATGCATTTGTTGGTTCATTTTAAACGAGCATTAGATAGAAAACATTGTTCATATTTACCAAATTTCATATTTCAACATAATATAACGCAGTAACAATCATTTAAACACAAAACTATACACAAGAAGTTTTGACGTAATTATTAACAGTGGAGAAAGTAACCAATTTGCAGGTAAATGATCCAACAACAAAAGAGAAATATGGTGCAATCAAAGTATTTTGTTGATATATGAAACAAAAAAGTCAAAGCTTTGGGATAAAATAACTCTTTGAACAAATGTAATTACTATACTTAATTTACACATACGGAGAAAATGTAACACAATAACTGCTGAATATGTAAAGAGATCATTAAAACACAGCTATCAAAATAAAAGGAAATTAACTTTCAGAGAAAGAAGTATCACCACTTGTAGTTCTTTTAACGAAATTTTTTTGGAACAATCAATGATCTTAGAGAGGGATCGAAATTTTCATTCTGAATGTTTTTGTCATTCGAGACTGCCTGCAATTTAATAAAAAAAAGCAGTTGAAATTCTGGTAAGAAATTTGAAAGACTTAAAAAAATTAAGTGCATGAAAAAATTACCGCGCTCAATTTCTCCAGAATCTTTTTTCCAGATGAATACCTTATAAGTTTCTGTTGACTTTTAATAATTCGTTCCGATAATCGCTTGAACCAGGATTCGCTGCCCGCACGTTTTTTTTCCTTTGCTTCAACAGCGATATCGAGCATTGTCTGTATAACGTAATTGCCAAATTGATCAAAAAGCAGAACATCCACAGCATCGTGTCCTTTTCTAAAAAATCTGAACTGTCTGAAAGTGATAACTTTGGATTCTTTCAAAGCCTACTAAATTTGCAAAAATCTCTTCACAGTATTGGGCAATGGCCGAAAAAGTATTCGTAGCCATACGTGTCACATTCGTAGCCATCAAAAATTTCGTCCATCATTGCATAAAGAAGCTTGGATGGAGCATGTTTTAATGCTTTTTCAACAACGTGTGAAGCATATTTTTCTTGCGACATTGATAGCAAATTGCTCCTGGAATCAACTTCTCAAATGGCTAAATTCATACACAGTAATAATAAAAACTTTAATCTTTAAAACTTCTGAAAAAATTCATGAAAAAAATCAGTACGAATGATTTCTAACTGTTGCCAACAGAAAAAGTAAGTCTTTGAAATCTCGCTCTAAAATGGATAAAAATATTGTAACTATGATACATCAGTCATTAACTTACAGAAATCCGCATATTACCATATTCCGATGCTTTTCCAATGTATTTGAGGTTATAATATGCTGAACAACGTAATTTGCGTATTGATGAGTTGAATAAGACCAACAATTCTTTACTAGCATAGAAACAAGCTGCTCAAGGAGCAAAGTGGCAGGTCTAGAACTTTTTGCAACTTCTTCTTCCAACTTCTGCAAAATTAAATATAATATAAAAGAAGTTTGAATATCATAAAAAATACTAGTAATATTTCTGCTGAAACCATTTTTTCACTAAATATTCATTGCCTTCCGGCATTCCATTAATTAATTACATCAGCCGTAAGGTGATCGAATGATCAATAAAACAATCAGAAATTGAGCTGCAAAAATTCGTTCTGATCAAAAAGATCTATTAATATTTTGCACAAAAAAAATTTTACAAGAGGATTATGAAACGATTAAGAGATGCTGTTATTCATTTATATAGTCAGAAGCGGAAATTTTGGCCTACTACCTGAAGAATGAAGGTTGAAGATGCAAAAATGAACGGTAGGGATGAGGATACGAAAAACGTTAAATTTAAAAGATAACTGGCTATCCTTTGCAAATCAAGTTTTGAAAGTTTACTTCCATTGATAGTTGAATAATTCGGCATCCATATCTGTCTTTCACAATTTCATTTAGAATGTCTTCTGATGCCAAGTACTTATTAACAATGCCACTATATCCATAAAAAGGAACGCACAAAAAAATCTTCTGAAAAATTTCTTTACGAAATTGAATCACCACCCGTTAGAAATGACCATTAATACAGGTCATGTTCCTTATAAACTAACACTACGAATTCTTCCATTCAGTATCATCTAAAACCTGAATGACATGGTTCGCGTTCTGATCCAATGATAGATCCTTTTCACTACCATCCAATTTGTCCAAAAGTGACAAACGTTTCACGACATCGAAACATTCGAAAGCTTTCTGCACTACTCGACATGAGTAACGACCGCGACTGAATGTTACCAAATTTGTTTCAAGAAATGAACAAATAATCGCTTGCTGATCATTGCATGCCTCTTCGATCAATTTCTGCAGAATAAATCTATAAATGATTTACAAAGTTTAAGAATTCTATTTTCCTTTTGATTAGCTTCGACAACTTGAAAACAGATGTAACTCAATCCCAGGAAGCAAACTTACTTGGAGAAAGAAATTGGCAAAGATGTCATCACACAGTTTGACAAAGATGTCCATTTTCAGAAAATGATCGGTAAGTTTCTGACGAATAGACATATCTCCACAAACAAAAATTTTTTGTAAGAAGCTAAAAGAGCTCAGTGTGTAAGAAGCCAAGAAGCTGAACAATCAGAACTCAATTAGATGTTTCTATAGTTGGAGAAAACTAAACTGAGCAAAATAATATTGCCTTTCAAATTACAGTCTAAGTGTAAGATAAGAATTGCACTGGTGAAAAATTATTTGTGCTATTTTAAAAGACTTTCCTTCGTAACGCTTAAATAATAGTCATACCCCACTTTTCCTAGCTTTTGACTTTCATATGTACTTCCTCAACCCCATTCTATATTGCAGAATTAAAATATAATAAGAGACATCCGTGATTTCATTGCCAGACTGATACTATCCAAGATTATATGCATGCAATTAATGATAACAACACGCTTTTTATAGTTGCCTTTTAAGAAACTATCCAGGTTTGAATTTTATATCAAATAAAAGTAAGTACTTTGTTAAATTATATCAGTGCAACAAAATAATAGCAAAAAATTTTTCAAAGGTTTTAAGAAAGCAAAGTTAAAACCGTGAGCCACGTTTGTCGATAGCGTAGACATCAATTCTTCCTATTTCAATCAAATGTTCGATAAATGCTCTTGCCATAACTGTGTCATCAGTTGACGGAAACGGCAACAAATTGATGCTGAAATTGCATATCTTTGCCTTTCTTTTTCAATCTTTATGCAGCTCTTACAAATGAAAATGACGTTGAAGTATTCACCTTGTCATTGGCACTTGAATAATGAATTTATGAACTTCACTATTTGTATTTTCAGACTAAAGAATATTTTTCATAGTTGATAGTATTAAGTTAACCCTAGCCAAATCTTCATGAGCTTGACTTTGTTAGGCATTGCTTGTCAAATTGTCAATTAAAATTTTTGGGGAGACCATCAATGAATACAATGTACATTTACACAAATCAAAAGTTCCGTAAAATACAACGGAACATACTCAATATGGACATCGGAACCACGAGTTGTTAATGGTGGAGACGAATTCGAAACTGGAACGATATAAGGTGGCACTGCGTGATACAATACCTTAAATTGATGAACATAGGCATAAGATAAAAAGATTTTAACCCCTAATTTGAGTAATGATTTTGTAAAATGCACAGCTACGATGAATAATACTCTCTGGAGATACCGGACTTGACGAAATTCGTTGCGATCCATTTGATTCAATCAATGAAGTGGCAATTTGGCATGCTTGCATTTCAGGAGTGAGATGAACTGAAATTTGAAACAGCAGCCTAATACATCGCTAAAATAGCTTCAATTACATTTTAAATTCATGAGTTTAAAATATGAATATTCCTAACCTGTATATCCATAACTATGAAAATTCATCGATTCGATCGGCCACGATGGTGGATGAAGAAATTGCGCAACTGTTGTTGCTTGATTAAGTACATTTATGGCTTGCAACATTCGTTTATGTGAGCTAAGCGTTAAAATTCATTATATCTTTAGCGATTTTCATATTGCTTTTTGGCAGTTCATCTTAATTTCTTTTTTGTGTCATGTTTGTTCATTACAAAAATTTTGAACTAAACTAGAAGAGAATACGAAAGGTTAAATGGTAATGAATAATACAGGAATGTTTGGCCTATTATTAAAATGAGGGAAATGAGATGAATGAAGTCATCATCTCATTTTCGATTTTAATTTATTTTTTAAAATTTAAAATTAAAATCAGAAAGGGTAAGAGAGGGAGAGAGAGAGAGAGAGAGTCTGAAAATGATCTATTTACACGTATGAACTGCTTGCGGAGGGTAAAAAGATCGGAATGAAATAAACGTGAGGAAATAATGTAAGCTGTTGTGTATGTTGAAAGAGGAATGAAAGCTAAACGGGTATTGCTACTCTGTCATACTCCCCCGTCCCTCACTACTGATCCCCGCTCTGCAAAAGTACCAATTATCATTTCTCACATCTCTTCCTTTCATTATTTGAAATTGGCACGTAGACATTTCCGAAAATTTTCGCGCTATATTTTACAGTTTCCGTTAATAGCTTATACTGATTTAAGAAAAGAAAAAAAGGATATTGTATGGATTACTGTAAGAGATTCTGGAAGAGATTTAAATTTTAAGTAAGCATTACATTACTTCTGTATCCTCGCATCATACTGCTGTAACGATGTAATATACATTCAATGTTACTCTTCCAATCTAAAATCTATCATTGGAGACATTTTTAATCTCTTCTCTCATCACAAATATGTCCCCTATATTTCTTCCCTTCCTTCTTCTTATTAGTACTGAAAAGGGATTGCAATAGTTGTTAGCTTTCTTGTTTTCAAACTCAGTAACTTCAGACAGGTAAGTGTATTTGAAATGTCATTTACTGATATGTGCCTGAAACATTAAATATTATATGATACCAATGACTGTGAACAAAGAAATATATATATTCATATAAATATGTGTATATGTCTGTGTATGTCTATATTACGACAACATTTCAGAGTGTGTAACTGTGATCGGTTGATGGTTCTCTTCCACTGCTTATTTCAATTTCTCCTACCTGTGACACCATCATTACCGGTTGTGTATCGTCAGTGGTTACCTTCTTCAATGAGAAAAGGATACGAATGCACACTGATGAATTTGTCCTCCTTTCGGTTGCATTAACAACCAGCTGCCATCAAAAATCATATTCACGAAGGCCGAGAAGTTCACTTGTTATTTTCCTGCATTTCTTATTATTCATTTAGGTCAGTGTTTCATATATGTTTGTGATTTAATGACTGGAATTAAGTTTTAAATTTTTCTTTTTGAATATTATTTCTTCTAATAAGTGACTATCAACTTTCTTAAATAGTCATCTTTTAATATTATCCTATTAAATAATTTGTTAAATTATTCTTTTGTTTCCCACTAATAGAAATATTTCGAACCAAACAAATAAATGTTTATCGTAGGCTATAAACATCTTTGTTTGTTTAATTTGAAATACAAATAATTCTTTCAATGTATCAAACTATCAGTTTAATTCAGGTAGAATGTGAACTCTCCTTAACGTTAATCTTTACATGACAATTAAAAGCTTCACAAAAATAAATTTTTATTTAGCATTTAGTACTATTGTCATATCTTAATAAGAAAAGACACGTTTTTGTCAAATAATAAATTCAAGAGAACTCCTGGAAGATAGAATATTTCTTATTATCAAATTTCACTTTTAAAAACTCTCCAATTCACATTCACTGTAAAGTCTGAACAACTTATACAATTGCGTCGTTGATTTACTTCCGTGAAATTACGTGTGATTCACTGTTATATAAAAGTGTAATTTTACCATTGTGACGCAGAAAAACGTCATTTGGTGCTTTACGTAGAATATCACCGTACAGTTTTCTTTTTTGAAATTTATGGTGAATGAAAATTATGTTCGCTTACGTGCTAATATAATTACTTCTGATCTTTTATTGATAATTACAAATAATGATAATGAAAATATCATTATTTGTAATTATCAAATTAATCTTAATAAGTATTCCCAAGTAGTAGGAATAATTTAAGCTATAATTTAAAAAGTGAAGCTATTGCGTCCAATTTCTCTGACTTATCTCGAGAAGAAGAAGAAGAAGGAATACTGTCATCTTTACAAAATGCATTAAAATGGTTTTTGTTTGTTATGTGTTAGTTAGTTCACTGATGCCTTAAATAAAAGTTTGTCTCCAATGACCAATATAAACAATTCGGGGCTTTCTTAAATTGCATTTCTGCTAACCGTTAATCCGGCATTTTCCCTTATTTTTCCCTTAAAGGGAATTTAAAATGTGAATTGATATTATCGAATCATTTTCTATTCTGACACCAAAATTGATCTAAAAATTTGACTACTTATTGCTTAAAAATTAAAGATACAGTAGTACTTTGAGAACATGGAAATTTTGGCGAGTAGTAGATGTCTAAAATAGGGAATGAAGACAATGTATAGAAAGAATGATTCATTGCATATCTTTTTTAGTTATCCTGAGAATTTGAAAGTGTTCCTTACAAGATTGACAAAACTAAATAACGAAGATTATCACAATTTAAATATTGATGAAGTGAAGTTTTGCTAAATTCCTCTTACGCCATCTAATCAAAGTTGTATTTCCATGTACGAAAACGTTACATCGTATTGTACACAACTTAATATTTTTATCATTTTTTCATTTCTAACATTCATGCATTAAATCATATCTGTGACATATTTTCTGAAACTTAATTTGCAGTTTGAAAACGATGTACTAATGCCAGATGTTGTCAAAATGGACACAACGAGCTGCGCAATTGTTTGCAGTATACCTTGTGACACATTTGATCGTGATAGTGGTGGACAACAGGAGTATCACTGATCAGACACAAATAAAAAGTAAAAAAATTTCTGATGGTCCATTAATCGTTAAGGATTCTCCTGAAAATGTAAATGAAGGAGAAGACGAGGACATTGATGTTACGTATGTTCTTTTTGCTTCCTAATCGTTTTCGTTTCTTAATATTATGAAATTCAATGCTGTAATGTGAATACAATTTAGATTAGTTGCTGACCTTCTATGTTTCTTAATAGAACTTCATATATTTTTCAATTTTTCTAGATCGGCAGGTTTGAAAGCAGATCAAGAAAATTTGGCACCTCATTTAGTTGAACCCGTGTTACAAAAGATGCCGATAATTGCTAAGAAATTTTTTGAGGTATATAACTTTTTACCAAGATATATGCTTCAAATTATCAAATAACGTTTCAAAACTTATTGCTTTTGAATTATGATAAGTTAGGAAAAATTATAAGAATCCATTCAGTAAGTTTCCTGAAGGCGTCAAGACACCTTCATGGTTGGAATAATATCATTGATATGGAAGTCATTTTTCGAATTATTTGAGTGATAATTCTGCACAATTTATAGATGAAATATTTATAGCAATCTAACGCAAACCTGTTGTTGATCAATTTCACAGTGGCAAATGATTTAATACTTATAACTGACCGAGGGACAATCGACTATTTTCTTACGAATTACAGAATTTCAAGCGTGAAGCGAAAATAGTACACTCGAAGTCCGACGATTTCTTGTTATTTACTTTGATCAATGGGGCCTATTTGAATTTGACTCTAAACTGGTTATGTAACGTGGCACCATTTCGGACATCAATCCATCGTAAAACGTTAATTGTCAGCTTGGATGCAGAAACTTGCAAAGTGATCCAGAAGAATTGGAAAGAAGTGAAGTGTATGTATGTTAAAGTGCACGGTGATTACAATGCTCCACTTAGTTGGGGACGACAAAACTATATCAATTTACTCAGTCTTCGTTCACAACTTTTGCTAATTCTTGCTCAGGTTTAATTTTGCATGATTATTTATTTATGTTGATTTTCTGCAATTTCATTTTTTGAATTAAAGGTATTACAGCTAGGATTGCCATATATTTTATTTGAAACCGATGCGGTTTGGTTACGTGATCCTATGGAATTCTTTCATAACCAAACACTTATCGATGATGCTGACATTATTGTACCGGTGAAAGGTTCATATATTCTTATTAAATTGAAAAGATAGAGATTAATAAATGAGTCTGAATATGTTCTCATTGTTCGATTTTTTGCATCAGCAAGTCTATCATAGACAAACAAGAATGTGATAAACATCAATAAGGTACGAAATATGACAACAAATATTCAAGTCCAAATGCAACGCTTTTTGCCTAATTACTTAAAATACAGTAGTTTTACTACCCTAATTGCAGGTTATCCGGATCACAGCTTAACGTATGCATTCGATCCAATGATCGTTTATCCTTCAAATGCATCTCTTGTATTGATGCGTGAATTAAATTTACAGCTTTCAAAAGATCCGAAACTGTATGACCAGGTGAAATTTTTTGTTTCAATCAGATAAATTATAACGATTAGGAAATGAAATAAATCTTAGCTGTTAAGGAAAATATCATTCGCAATAATTTTGTTGGACAAAATTCTAGTTTATTTTTCAAAATAGACTGTTTTCACAGTACAATAGTGAAACCAGTACAGTACAATAGGTTGTGTTCGGAATAGCGCTGTTAAAGTATTTTTAAATGTCAACAGAACGTGTTTGCGGCAGATTTTGATATTACAAATAAGCAGGAAATCGACAGAATCCAAAACTATTCCTCAGCTAAGATAACAATGAATAAAAAATTCGTAATGACAGGATGTTCTGGATCAGCTATGTCGTCAGCAGTATTTTGGATTGGTATGTCGTCAATTTGAATGGAGTGAAATAGCTGATGGAAAATGGTTCAAACTGTCGGAATCGGAACGAGCTCATTTGAGACCGTATATTATTAACAACAACTATTACATTGGCGTCGATAATAAAATCAGTCGGCAGGCGTTAAATGGTTTATGGTTTCTATCAGTCAAAAACAGTTGTAACATCTCAAAAGTTCGAAATCTGCTACGTAAATATGAATCGTAGTAAGGTTTGTTTCCGATACTTGAATTGAAATTGATCAAAAAGTATTTTTGGTGCCACTTAACATCGTTAAAAGAATTTTTATTTCTTGAAAACTTAGTTTAGAGTCAATTTTTTAGATTATAGTTTACCTGAATGAAATTTAACGAATAAAAAAGTCGTATAAAACACCTGTAAATCTGTGTATTTGTTTGTATAGAGAGCACATCCGTAACAATCCCAGTGTTTCTTTTTGTTTCACTTTTACTTCACTGAATTTATTATTGTCACTTCTTTCCAGTTACCAAAGTTTCTTGTTTAAAATATGTCTTTGATATTATATGCTGTTTTTTTGTCTTCTTTTCTCAGAAAATTAGCTCCTGCTAGAGAGGGATTTAACTCACAAATTAGAGCAGATGAACAAGCATCTCTTCCGAAACCAACTTTATCACTCTGTTTAAACAGAGCTATTGAAATTGATAGTGTGGGAGAAAAAACATTGTAGCATATTAGTACCACTAAATCTGCTTCTCAACAAGTGGTTTCAATTCGCAAATTATTGATTTAATTTGGAGAATTTTTGAAAGGGCAGCAATAGACTTAAAACAAGAGAAGAGGAAGTCCGATAAGCATCCCAGCTGCTGCTTTAAGAATTTCTTTTATTATGCTCACCATTTCCTTCATTTTTTTGCATTGTATAGAAAATTTTCATGATATGCAGTAAAAAGAAAAAACGCCAAAATTGATGTTATATTCAGATAATAGCAATGCATTCTTGAGAGTAACTTATTTAACATTACCATCTAAGCAGTTAAAGTTTTCTATTCTCATTAATATATATTCAAGTTGTGTCATAGGATTCTCAAAGAATCAATCGGTAAAGTGGTGAAGATGGACTTATTGCGGAAATTAATCGCCACTCGTTTGATTTATCAGAAGCTAAAATAGAGCTTGTCTCCGGATATAGTTTGAGTATATAACATGATTCTAGTAAGCGTTTATAAAGTTCACCAGTAGTGGAAAAATTGCTATCCTCGGGGAGCTGAGGTTTCGGAGTGAGTTACAGGCGTTTTTCTCACCTATACATTTCAAATCTCATGTATTTAATAATACTGTTTTCCTTTTGAGTAAATGGAACGGAATTTTTCTGAATAAATTGATATTAAAATTGTTATTTATTGGCGAAGGTTCGTAGCCTGTTGGCTACTGAATATAAAAAAATACTAATGATCCATTATCTACCATGCATTACTGTCCAAAATAAAGCCTTCATTAAAGTGTATGTGAAGCTGATGGATATTGTATATTGTCAGTGTTGAACTCGAGCTTGCTACCAAATGGATAAATCTTTTTTTGATTGTAAAATTGCTAATTTTAATTACTAGTAGAAATTCATTCACTAGATTTCCGAATTGCAATAGAATAGCTTCGGAATTTGTTCAACAATTAATACCATAAATTCTACGACGGTTAAACGGATTTCAAACGATCGATAATTGGACATTATTTAAAAATATATTGCGAGATAGGCTCTTTGTTCTCTGCCCAACATTTCATTTCTGTTTATCTTATTTCTGTCACAAACACAAACACAAATATTGCACCTTGTGGCATCATCATCTCTCATTTCACTTTGGTTTTAAGTCTGATGAGGAAAAGGACGAAGTGCGAATCGGAAGCATTGTATTCTTTTTGTGATCCCTTGGAATTCAAACCTTCCTATAAAGTTTCACTTTCATTTTGAGAAGAAAGAAATCCCATGAATAATAACCAACATCTGTTCCTTTCATTCTTCTTCATTTCATTTTTATATTTCCCCTTCTCCCCTTTCTCTTCAACTTAACATTTTTGTTTACTAAAATTCCCCCTCAAACATCTATGAATTGTTGCAAATTATTTCATCTTTATGAATTACTCTAGCATGAACTATCACAGACTTCACTGAATGAAAAATGATGTAGAAATTCAATGAGAGACTTTATAGTTTGATATATACAATCTTGCATAATTAATTTTTGATTTTAATTTCACTTTCAAATTTAAAGAAGTAAGGAATAACCTGTGCCGAAACAGACTTGTAATTCACGTTTCACTTCTGCCATTCAGAAAGAAGTGCGGCAAAATGAAATTCTAAAAGAAGTAGACTACTGAAATTTAATGCCATGCAATGAAAGTAGAATCGATAAGCTATTGATGTCGACGTGAGAAAGGAAAGGAAGTGTTGAAGTATGCCGCAATGTGCCAGATATGATGCTTACTTTCTTGTTGTATTCAAGCTCTCCAGACATTGGTTGCTTTTTTAAGTGTTGACAGATTTGTCATTTTTTAATAGTTGAAGTAATTCGGAATTTTTATCATTCCATTCATTTGGACAAATAAAAATGGTAGGATTCCAATGTAGCATTACAACAGATCTTCCTTTGTAAAAAAGTTATTGGTTGAAGCTTGCTGGAGCAATATTCGTTACTAAGATAGCTTGTATTTTGTGAAAACATAAAATAATTATTTCATTCATCATAATTACTTCCAATTTGATTGTTTCATTAATTCCATTACTCATTCATTCATTATTTTCCGTGTTGCACTATGCTAAATATGACGACAATTTCTCACGAAATGAGATTTAATTAAGAATTATTCAAATTTTTTAATAAATGAAATGTAAGAATATAATAGATCAAAAAAGCTACGATAACCGTTCTATTATTATGATATTATTTTTGCTATCAAATTAATTTCGATCGTATTAGATTGGTAATATCTTTTCTAATGAAAAAGAAAATTGTACTTATCGTTTGGTTCCTTTACCTTTTGTTTCTTCATAATTTTTTGTTGATAAAAATATTTCTAAGTTAATTTCAAATGTTCCCAATAATATTATAGAAAATATAAACAGTAATTGTATGGGAAAATCTATTAGCTGTCATTTCAAATATTAAAGATAAAGTTAAAAGAGTTGGAAAATTTATCAATTACAAACAAGAAACATTCTATGATATAAAAGAAAGTAAATATTACTGATAAGTGATAAATTCCAATGTAATGAAGTGAAGTGAGTGAAATGTTCTATGCTCAAAAAATAATGTTAGTTTGTTTAGTTTTGAAATATCTTTTAAATTTGAAACAATTAAACTTTATTTTGCTGTAACTGACTTGTTTATTAATGATAAGATTGTTGAGAGAGTAAAGTAAAAATTGCAGATTTTTTACTGATATAAAAATATATACATAAAAGTACGATAAACTCAACTAATATCAACCTATTGTTGCTATTAATGAATTGAAGATTAAATCAAATGATCAAATTAACCGAGAGGATATGTTTGATTATTTGTATCGCAAGCGATGCAGTTGTTTGTTAAATTGCACTGCATCCATGTATACATACGTATACGCCATAACTTTTCATTCAACTTATATGATACACAAATTTTTGCACTCTCATTTCATTAGCTCAAATTTTTAAATCTCTCTATAGCATCCATCAATTGGGTTCATAAGCTATTACTGCAGTAGAATTCTTTAAAGATAATTTTGTGTTACGAAAAATAAATAAAGGGAGAGATTTTGTAAGAGATGTCAATTTTTAAAAATGCAAATAACATGAAATATAGCTTTATAACAAATAAAAAACATGTTGAATTATACAAGGAAGTAGAACATACAGTATAATAAGATCAAATCAAATTTGATTTATTACATCTAACACATATAGCATCGCATCTTTGCAAATAAATTATTGCGTGCATATATTCATTCAGTCGTGTGCATATATTAGGCATATTTGCAGCATAATTGTTAAATGATATTGTTAGATGATATACTATCAGATTCAAATTATTCGATCAATCAAAATAGCTCACCTTTAACTAGGATAACAAAATAATATACTGCGTTGCAAATTTTTCGATTCATCTCTAATTATTGCTTTATTGGTTTCCAGAGAATCCTTTTAGAGAAGCCAATTTATGCATCAATTTTCTACGCCTATAACTTATCTAATTGGAAAAGAAAAATTTGGAAAATATAATTTTTTGAAAATACGAAAATTATTATGACGAAATTTTCGAAATATTACCTTTGTGTTGGAATGAAATTTTTATATTTATTGGATTGGCTTATATAATTCTCAATGCTAATTATTTTTGGTATTAAATTGAAACGGAAAAAATTGTTAGCACTTGAATAAATATTAAATTTGTTTTCTTATATATACATATATATACATGTATATATTTCAATTCAATAACATTACACACAAAAAGCATCGTATCTGTCTCCAGTGCACATCTTTTTATTATTTAAAAAATACGGAAGCTTTTGAAAATCCTAAAATGTGCAAATTTTTGACAATCATTTTCAATTTTTATTTTTGCTCTTCGAAATTTGAAGGAATGCTATGATGCAAAGTTACTTGTTGAAATGTATCATTTTGATTTTTGTTTCCAATTTCTTCTTTATTAGCTTATTTTATTCTTCTTTATTAGCTTATTTTATTAGCTTATGATATGCTATAAAAGTTTGAAATAAATTTAACATTATATTTTTAAAGAACAATCACATTTCTCATAATGATACTATACTTTTATATTTATGTTGAAATTGTTTTAGTGTAAATGAAATCATTTATTAGTTAAAAAAAAAGAGAAGAGAGAAAAAAAAGCAGCACTAAAACAAAAGTTAATGAATGCTAACAAAATTATTGAACAACAAGTAATTAATTTTTGAAATTTTTTAATCATTTTTGTTTTTCTTTTTACTTTTCTTACCACAATTCTTCTTCTTTTTCATTCGTTATTATTTCAAAACAAATAAAAAATATTTTTGAATCTTATATCGTTTAAAATGAATTGTGATAGTGCAGTGATAGTGATAATTATGATAGTGATAATTGTAATAGTGATTATATATATATAATATTCTATATATATATTCTGTATATTACGAAATATTCTTCATTATGATGAAGAATTTAGCCAACTTCGATGAAATTTTATCGTTTTTAATTTTATATCGTTTAAAAT